TCCACGTCCCCAAATCCCCACGTCCCCAATTCCCACATCCCCCAATCCCCACGTCCCCGAATTCCCCTCGTCCCCAAATCTCCACGTCCCCAAATCCCCACGCCCCTCAATTCCCCACGCCCTCCAATTCCCCACGTCCCCAAATTCCCACATTCCCAACTCCCCACATCTCCAAACATCCCCAACTCCCCACAAAATAAAGCTCCCAACGACTCCATTTACTTTGCCACCGAATATAAATGACTCGAAGCGAACATAATTCAAGCCGACTCTACCACACAAAGTGACACGCGTTAATTTCATCGCATTTTCTTCCGTGTATGTCTCAAGACCACGGTTTAACGTTTCAAATCACAGACTAGAACGTAATTTCTCGCTGCGTTGTCGTGTTTCTCGCAACTCGCTTCACGGCCCGCCATAATTATTTCTTTTTCACTTATCTCGATGTGCACGCGTCCTTCAGCCTTTATCTCGCGGTTTCTCACGCTTACCTCGTCGATTTCGTGCTTGCTATTGTGTTCCGCGTTCTACGATTCCAAGAAAATCATTTCTGTTTACCTTGTTTCGTCGACTTTGTTTTATACTCGTTGCACCCGAGAAAGAGCGAGACGAAAGGACCTCGCGTGCGTCTTCCTTCCGCCATGGCGACCGTTAGTCACTGCAGCGAATGATCGATGGATCATTTACGGTTTTCCGTTGGGGTACGTTAAGCAAGGAAAGCTCGCATCGAGACAATGACATGTTCCGCTCTCAGCTTGCTATTCCAGAGCACTCGTTAATTATCGCTGTTATTTTTACCGTTTTGTGCAAGAACATCGAGGCTGACACGTTCTTGCATAATGATGAATCCGCAAAATACGACTGTTTTTATACTTAGGCTTGCCGTTATTTGCCAATTGGAATCTTTGTGAATATTCATATCAAGGAGGAATTTTATTTACCTCGGGACTGGGAATTTATGAAATGTCAAACGAGCTGGGATTTACAATGAGTTTATATTTTTATAGGACTGGTCTGTTGAATTGGAACTTGACATTGTTCAAGTGCTAAGTGATTAGAAATGTGATAACCACAGTGTAGCTTGCTTATTTCTGACATATTAGCACATATTCTGTCTGCAATATCGAATAGATTGATTAGATTGGATGTCCGATTTGACTTGCTGGTTCAGTAGCATAAACAGCATTTTTAACTTGGTATTTATAAAAATATACTGTTCGTGTTAATACGAAAATCCTGAAAGACATGTGTACCTGTCATCCACCTGCATTTTTCAAAATTCGTAAAACTTGAATAAATTCGATGAGGGTTATCCAACAGTATTCTGTAAAATTATAATTTATGCGTCAGTGCAGAGAACAAGTTTGCCCGAGCATCTGTCCTTGACTTCGCGTTGTAACCTACACCAGCTCGCTTACAAACGTCCACCTTTCGCAGCCGAACGACACACGAGCGGGCGATCGATCGAAAAGACGAGACCGTGGTCGATAAAAATATCACGTTTCAGACATAACGAAGCTAAGGATTCGTTGTTGTTGCAGATTGGCCTCACCGAGGCGGAAGGAGTTAATCAACGAGAGGGGTGCCCATGCCGAGCGTCAGGAAAAATCAGCAGGAGGGTCTTAGGAGAGGAACATTCTCAAAGACGAGCTCGAACTCGTAGGAATTGAATTTGTGAACGTGGACGATCGTGCGAGAACGTTCGAGCTTGAAAATGTTATCGAAAACGTGTTCCGAGATCATGGCGGGACTAATATTGTTGGCGTTCACGGCGATAACATTCAGAGAAGTGCAAGGACACGTTGCTCTAACCTTCCCTCGAGCAAGGAAGTACGACTTGGACTTTTTGGATAATGCTAGGACACCTGGTCCCTGTGGAATGCCTCGTGGTGAGTTATTTACACAACTGACTACTTCTGATAACCGAATGGTGGGAGGGGTACAGTTTTTAAGCCTGCAACCTTGGCCTCGTTAGCCTGCTATGAATCTAAATTATTAGTAAGACGGCACAAGAAATAAGGTTGCCTTAATTTGAAGACGTTTGTGATACAAGGACTGTTAAATGTAGAAAGTGTCATTCAGGTGAATGAAACTGGAGGAAGGACTACATAGGTAGGTCAAATACTGGGGCTGGTAATGCACAAACTTTTTGAGTCTCATTTCACAATATACTTCATCAAATCCTTGGATGATCACACTTTTATCTGTAACTTCAAAATGCTAGGTCTTCAACTTCCCACATTTTGAAATTGACAAAGTGACAAGATTATTCTGTCTCTATATTGAATAGGTTTTATCTATTGTCCATGTGAGTTCTCTCTAAGTTCTCCTAAAATGTGGTCCTTAATCTGTCCTCAAAAGTTGAAAAGCTTTTATCCATTGTCCATGTGAAATCTGTCTACATTCTCCCAAAATGTGGTCCACAATCTGTTCCAAAATTTAATAGGTTTTATCTATTGTCCATGTGAGTTCTCTCTAAGTTCTCCTAAGATGTGGTCCACAATCTGTCTCTAAATTTAATAGGTTTTATCTATTGTCCATGTGAGTTCTCTTTAAGTTCTCCCAAAATGTAGTTCCCAATCTGCCTCTAAATTTAACAGCCTTTATCCATTGTCCATGTGAATTCTCTCTAAATTCTCCCAAAATGTGGTCCACAATCTGTTCCAAAATTTAATAGGTTTTATCTATTGTCCATGTGAGTTCTCTCTAAGTTCATCCAAAATGTGGTCCACAATCTGTCTCTAAATTTAATAGCTTTTATCCATCGTCCATAATAAGAGTCCTCTCTAAATTCTCCCAAAATGTGGTCCCCACTCTGTCCCTAAATTCAACAGCTTTTATCTATCATCCACATGAGAGTCCTCTCTAAATTATCCCAAAATGTGGTCCCCGCTCTGTCCCTAAATTCAACAGCTTTTATCCATCATCCACATGAGTCCTTCAAATCTCCCAAAATTCCTGTACCCATCCACATGTTCCACGAACCTAACCTAATCATCCAAGAACCTATAGAGCTCCTACCCACCCTAGCCACCAATTCCAAATTACAGCCTAGTCAAAGCGAAAAAGGAGCAAGTCGAAACCTGAAACGGCGCATCAGAGGTAGAAAAACAACGAGAAATATCCCGTTCGATAGTGTCACCAACGGAGCAGGTTCTCCAGGCAGCGTCGGTGTGTCACACGATCCGCTGTGCGCGAGCGTGGACCGGAAACTAGCGTGGAATTTTCGCGGTCGTCCCGAGGATGGCGTTGTTAGCCGATCGTTAGAGTTGCGCATAGGATGGGAAGAAAAAGGGTGAGAGGGTTCTATGGGAAAACGACATTAACGCGAAGATATTCCGGTGGGGATAGCTCGGTACTCTGATTCGAGGCGACTTTCACCGACTCGCACGAAGGGAACTCGAACCTCTGTCCGGCCATTACCTTCTACGTTTTGCCTCCGCGAGACTACACGCGTCACGCTTTTCTCCGCGAGAATGTTCGCGACCAATGCTCCGACGGATGCACGCGATTATGCCAGAAATAGTCTGACTATCGATATGGAAGATGCTTGTAGATTATTTCAATTTCATCTTTTAATAGCCTACCAAACTTTTGGACAGATTAAAACGGTCAACTTTTATGTACAAATATTATGTACATGTAATAAGTATCAATTTTATCAAACTTAAGAAGTGGTTGTTAACTTACGATGAGTCTCAGCCATTTTGTTCTATTGTAACTTGGTATGAAACTTTCAAGTAGTAGATTTGTAATGAGTTTCGATTAGAATCTACCTTGTACAAAGATTCGGAACGTCAACTTTTATGTACAAATATTATGTACATTTAATAAGTATTAATTTTATCAAACTTAAGAGGTGCTTGTAAACTTACAATGAGTCTCAGCCATTTTGTTCTATTGTAACTTGATGTGAAACTTTCAAGTAGTAGATTTGTAATGAGTTTCGATTAGAATCTACCTTGTACAAAGATTCGGAACGTCAACTTTTATGTACAAATATTATGTACATTTAATAAGTATTAATTTTATCAAACTTAAGAGGTGGTTGTAAACTTACAGTGAGTCTCAGCCATTTTGTTTGATTGTAACTTGATGTGAAACTTTCAAGTAGTAGATTTGTAATGAGTTTCGATTAGAATCTACCTTGAACGAAGATTTAGAACGTCAATTTTTATGTACAAATATTATGTACATTTAATAAGTATCAATTTTATCAAACTTAAGAGGTGGTTGTAAACTTACAGTGAGTCTCAGCCATTTTGTTTTATTGTAACTTGGTATGAAACTTTCAAGTAGTAGATTTGTAATGAGTTTCGATTAGAATCTACCTTGAACGAAGATTTAGATCATCAACTTTTATGTACAAATATTATGTACATTTAATAAGTATTAATTTTATCAAACTTAAGAGGTGGTTGTAAACTTACAAGGAGTCTCAGCCATTTTGTTCTATTGTAACTTGGTATGAAACTTTCAAGTAGTGGTTTGGTAATGAGTTTTGATTAAAATCTAACTGGTAGGTCTTCAATTAAAATCTAACTGGTAGGTCTTCAATTAAAATCCAACTGATAGGTCTTCGATTAAAATCTTTACCGACACTCAGTGAAAGATTTGATCCTACCAGTCATTGTCTCAGAAAGTTTGGTGAGTACTGTTTTAACTTGGTGATCGCCATGATGGTCATATGTGACTGCACCTGCAAATTTAATTGAATTGATTGTTTATAATAAAAGGAAATCTAATGTTGAGTCAATAATGTGCATTGAAAGCTTGAAAGATGAAATTGAAGTACTGGGTACCCTTGCTAGTGATGTATATAATAATGTCTGAGCACAAACAAGAACTTGCAAAACATAATGATCAACGTATGAGTCAGTTGATGTATGCCACTGTCAACAATAATGCATTTGCAAAAATGTGAAGAAGGAATATTATGCAAATAATATAAAAAATCTGCAACTAATTAATGCTCTCAGGGACCACATCAACCTAACTGCGGACCCAACCTAGAAACAGCGTTCTGCAAAGTTAAGCATATACTTAAGACTCGATGCATGCGAGCAGTCGATAATCAACATCAATAAACTACTGTTAGCGTTATAAATTATCCTGTCCGTGTTCAGTGGACGCTAATGGAAACCCGCCTACTCGGTGTAGAACTTCCGAACATCATTATAATATGTCAGTATTAATTGCAGTTTCAAACAAATAAATAAGCAGTAGACACGTGTAACGTGACTAATTATTAATAGTTTATATTAATATACATCATGCTGAAACAAAGACGAAACGACCCATAACTGATTGCTATAAGAACACGGGTATCTAATAAACCTATAACACAGAGTAAAAGTAAGTGTTTGATCTGAATCAGGAACACTGTTCGATCACGCCAACTTTCTACAATCGGTTCAACAATTCGTTGCTCAAAAACTACATCGCGTTAAGACGGAAAGCATATCAATCATACTTTCTTCTCTATGGACGTCATCTCTTTATTTTCTCGTTTACCATAATCAGACTGCGTATTACGTATGGGGAGTCCGGTGGAGCACCGATGTGGACTGAATACGTAAGCGAGTGATGGAAAGAATGTTCCCTAATATGTCCACGTGCGACCTTTGGCACTAGAAATACTGTAGAATGTATTGTAGGGGGTTTGGTTTACTAGGGTGGTTTGGAAGATGGAAATGTAGGTTATGTAGATGGTTGGCTAGTTAGGACCTAGTGGAAGGACCTGGGAGACCTGGGATTTATTGAGATGTGGACCTGGGAATCCTAGGACCTGGAAGCGGGACTTAGGAAAAGTAGGATGTATTAGAATCTTGGACCTAGGGATTCTAGAACCGATGGAACCTAGGAAATGTACTGAAACCGAGGCTCTAATGAAATCGAGGATCTTGAAAATATAGAATTTCTTGAAACCTGGGATGTAGAACTCCAAGAGTCTACTGGAACCGAGACCCTAGATAATCTGGTGTCTATTAGAACCGTAGGCGTAGGAAACCTAGAACCTATTGGAAGCTAGAATCTGTTGAAACCTAGAACCTATGGAAATCTAGAACCTATGGAAACCTAGAACCTATGGAAACCTAGAACATATTGAAACCTAGAACCCACTGAAACCTGGAATTCACTGAACCTAGAACCTATTGAAACCTAGAATCCACTGAAACCTAGAATCCACTGAAACCTAGAATCCACTGAAACCTAGAATCCACTAAAGCCTATAATCCACTGAAACCTAGAATCCACTAAAGCCTATAATCCACTGAAACCTAGAATCCACTAAAGCCTATAATCCACTGAAACCTAGAATCCACTAAAGCCTATAATCCACTGAAACCTAGAATCCACTAAAGCCTATAATCCACTGAAACGAACCCACTGAAACCTATAACCCACTGAAACCTGGAACCCACTGAAACCTAGAATCCACTGAAACCTAGAATCCACTGAAGCCTAGAATCTACTGAAACCTAGAATCCACTGAAACCTAGAATCCACTGAAACCTAGAATCCACTAAAGCCTATAATCCACTGAAACCTAGAATCCACTGAAACCTAGAATTCACAGAAACTTAGAATCCACAGAAACCTAAAATCCACTGAAACCTAGAATCAACAAAAACCTAAAACCTACTGCAACCTAGGCTTATTAGAATCTAGGACCTAATGCAACCTATGAGACCTAGGACCTACATCTAGAACCTAAAAAACGTAGTACCCAGCATAATTCAGTACCTACTAAACCCCAGAAACCTATAGCAGCCTAGAACCCAAGAAACTTCAACCTAAAACCCAAGAAACTTCAGAACCTTACAATCTCACATGAAACTAAAGATCCACTTAAGACCGTATGTATAACAAGTAAACTCTGCTTCCTCTGCACCGCCATTTTCCCTCGAAAAGCTTCCCACCATTGAGTCGCATCCATAATTTTACCAGACCCTAGTTCCGAAGCGTGGAATGCTTGCTTTCTTTTCAGAGAACCGCGAAAGAGAGAAGATGGCGGTAGTCCTTATAAGGCGAGATAGGTGGCCGCTCTGCACTCGGGTGCTTCCGGAAGTTAATTGTATTCCCGACCACTTTCGATTATTTCCGGAACTCAGTCTCGATACGATAAACACCGTAGCAGATCGTTATCTGGCGTCTACGAATCGAGGATGTGAAACCACGCGAATTACGTCGGAATCTGTTTTCATAACGGTCGATATGATTCGCGATACAAACCTCGGTCTTGATACGCCATTTTCTTTCACGGCGATTTGCGTCGTTTCCGCGTGCTTATTGATTTCCTGAATCGTTTCGGCGAATATTCTTTTAAAACAATCTTATCGAATGTAGACGGTACAGTCATATTTATTCAAATGGAATCTTAATGATTATTTAATCATTTATTACTGAGTGATCGTTTCTATTAAGCAAATCTGTAGTTATGCGAAGAATTAAATGTAGGTTAAAGAGTCGTGCAATTTGACATTTTTATTCTTGTGGTAATGCACAAATTTTATTAGTTTCCTATAATTTTATTAGGCCCCATAGACTCTCGGTATATTACCCACTTTTATAGGAACTTTCTCGAATACTTGAATTTCTCCTGTCGTAAAATCTCGACTCTACTTCAGTAATGTATTGTGTCTACTTCTGCACGTATTTCCAGGAAAAAATTCAGCATGCGTTATATTGCAACATGTGGAGTTCTTGCGTGCTACTATATTTGCACATATGAAATTCCTATGTGTTGCATCTTCAGCTATGCAGTTAACACATGTCACTGTCATGCATTCAATTACTATTCACTGTATCACTACTCGCTATATCGCCACGTACATATATCGCCATGAACAAGCAACATATGGAGTTCATACGTGCTACATTTCCACATATGAAATTGCTATGTGTTACATCTTCAGCTATGCAGCTAACACATATTACTGTTATGCATTCAATTACTATTCACTGTATCACCACTCGCTATATCGCCACGTACATATATCGCCATGAACAAGTAACATATGGAGTTCCTACGTGCTACATTTCCACATATGAAATTCCTATGTGTTGCATCTTCAGCTATGCAGCTAACACATATTACTGTCATGCATCCAATTACTACTCACTGTATCACCACTCGCTATATCGCCACGTACATATATCGCCATGGACAAGCAACATGTGGAGTTCCTACGTGCTACATTTCCACACATGAAATTTCTACGTGCTACATCTTCAGCTATGCTATCACACGTTACTGTTATGCATCAAATCACTATATCACCTCTCGCTATATCGCGTAATGAACAAGCAAAATTCCACATCATATCTCACACTTGGTATCTCCAGGTGTGAGAGAGAGTATTACAACAGGCAACTGAGTATGCATATTTTTATATGTTTCCGGTGATTGTCAGAAGTGGTAGCACTCATTAATCGCGATGAATATGGATTTTTCTCATTGCTTATGAAGTCCCTGGTATATAGAAATCAATGAGCTCGAGATGCAACAAGTGTCCGTTCTCCGGAACGAGTTAAAATGCTATCGTGAAAATTTGTGTAGAATAGTTATGAATGTTTTTATGTTGCAGGCGATGTTAAAACCACGTTTCTGTCTGGGAGTAACTTCAATGTCACGTGGCATCTGGCTTACCCCCACCGAGTAAGTAAACTTAGTACTTATTTTTTGAACAAACAACTTTTACTCGATAATCGGATTCCGAACATATTTGATCACTGACGAGGAAAAAGAAAGCTGTTCTAACGAGACCAATAATTTCTGCGTTACTCTCCTGCGTTGATCTCAATTAGTACTTAATAAAGAATTATCTTTAATTAATTAAATATCGTTAATTTGATCGGAATCCTCGATAACGCAAGATTTCGAAATTAACGATCGCGCAAGTAGTTAGCAATTGAAAAAAAGAACAGTTATTAAATAAAGAGAATCAGTGCGGTTACGTGAGAGGCGAATTATAACCGGCACGTTTTGTTATTCGCGTGACTACACTTTCTCCGATATGGAACTTTCTGCATTCATCTTCGACATCGAGCTCCTATCGTCCTCGATGTAATCTCCATTGTTGCACAATGTTTACATTGTAAAGAATCCGTCCACCGAAAGAATTTCATTAATTATGCCTCAACTGACGCGTACCCTGTCCGCCATATTGTGAAGTAAGACATTAAGGTACACCTGCTAAGAATCACTTTCGCAATCGCTTTATCCGAACACATCTTTCGATTACGAAATTCCATATCTTGTCGACGTAATAAAACTTGTGCATCCAAGCGTTTCAAAAACACTAATCGAAAATTATATTGCAGTAGTCGATGAAATCCTTAACAATGGTAGCTACTGGCTCGACTGGAACGTAGAATTTCCAGTTCATTCTACATTCTTGTGGGTTCTGAATTAAAGTAGGTTCAGGTACTCTAGGATTAGGTCGTCTAGCTAGTTTATTTGGGTTCTGGGTTTTAGTAAAGCAACAGGTCTCAGATTTCTACAAGTTCTGGTTTTTAGTAGCTATTAGCTTAGGTTATCTTAGGTCTTAAGTTCAAATAGGTAGTAGGTGTCGTTAGTCCTAGATCTACTAGGTCCTAAGTTTCCATGGGTCCTAGGTTTCTATGGATTCTAGGTTTCATTAGATTCTAGGGTTCTGTAAGTCCTCAATTTCTATAGGTCCTAGGGATCATAGGTCCTAGGTTCCAATACTAGGGGTCATAAGTCCTAGATTTGCTAGGTCCTAAATTTCAATGGGTCCCAGGTTTCTGTGGATTCTAGGTTTCATTAGATCTTAGGTTCTATAGGTCCTCAATTTCTATAGGTCCTAGGGATCATAGGTCCTAGGTTCCAGTACTAGGGGTCATAAGTTCTAGATCTGCTGGGTCCTAAGTTTCCATGGGTCCTAGGTTTCTGTGGATTCTAGGTTTCATTAGATCTTAGGTTCTATAGATCCTCAATTTCTATAGGTCTTAGGGATCATAGGTCCTAGGTTCCAATACTAGGTGTCATAAGTCCTAGATCTGCTAGGTCCTAAGTTTCCATGGATCCTAGGCTTCTATAGCTTCTAGGTTTCATTAAATCCTAGGTTCTGTAGGTCCTCAATTTCTATAGGTCCTAGGTTTCTGTGGTCCTAGGTTCCAACACTAAGTGTCATAAGTCCTACATCCGCTAGGTCCTAAGTTTCCATGGACTCTAAGTTTCTATAGCTTCTAGGTTTCATTAGATCCTAGGTTCTCTAAATCCTTAATTTCTATAGGTCCTAGGTTTCATAAGCTCTAGGTTCCAATTGAACCTAGTTCCAAGAGATCCTACGTTTCCATAGACTCTAGGTTTCAGCAGCTCCTAAGTTACCATAAGTTTCAAGTTGCCATAGGTCCCAGCTCCAGTAGATCGTAGATTTCCATATACTCCAAGTTCCAATAGGTGCTACGTTCAAATAGATCCTAAGTTCCAACCCTAACTCCTGTGTTCTAATATATGCTCTATGTTCTAACCCTTTGCACTCGGCTGTCCCCTCTGAAGGGACATTTTGAACGACAAAATAAACTTTCCGAGTGCAAAGGGCTAATATATTGTACTCCAACATGTTCAAATCGAAGAACCAAATTTCAACAGCTAGACTTCTGAAGTCCCACCTCTCTAAATTTGCCTTAGCTCCCGCATCCACATGTTCCATAACGATCAGCAAACCTCTCTACGTTCCTAAGCAAGCAAATGCTACATGACAATTTCCCCTAGGGTAGTCAGCTCCGTTCAAACAGAAATTCATATTCGCAGCGTCGCGTCTACCTAAGTCATCATGAAAGATATCACGGATTTGTCCGCACGTGGTCTATACGAAAGGGAAAGAAAATACAGACACAGGCTGAACCTCGGCTTACGCTTGCACGTCGTTGCCTAAGATGATGCGCGTTGAATAATTCACGAGAAAAGCTATGGGAGCATGCATGCGTTCATGGTGCCTGCCGTCTACCTTAGGTAGGTAGGTCGGAAAGTGGTGAGACATGTGCGAGAGAGTTACTCTTCGGTATGTTGAGTACCGTAACGCTGTCTCCGATCGCTCGGACCAATGCCAAATCTTCCAGCTATTCCTGAAAAACGGTCGAGTTAAAACACACGTGAAAAACACTGCCACTGACAGTGTAGAGTAGTGAGACATCGAATAACAATTGCGACACTCATAATCATACGTCCGGTTTGGGGTTCATTGACACCTTACGAAGCATTGAATGTGGTTGTGGATGAATTTTGGGTTCCTCTTTTGAAAGATCGATCGAAGACGGTCTGATAGAAGTTGTATTATAGTAGAGTATATTCTTTGAACGATATAATAGCTGATACTGTGTACTCTTTGCTGAATGTGATACCTAGTGACACCTAACATACCTAGTTATACTCTCTGAAAGATATAAGACCTGGTACAGTATCTTCTTCAAAAGATGTAATAGCTAGTACATTATGTTCTTTGAAAGATACAAACCTAGTACAGTATGTTCTTTGAAAAATGCTGCTTATTAGAGTACAGCTCTGTTCAAAAGATATGGTCATTCATTTCAATCTTTGAAGACAAGTGTGGCATAACTGCAAGGTACATAGACCTACCCTGGTTGTCTTCAGCTAATAACCTACTGAGCTACGTTTGATTAATATGAATAAGCTTGTGAAAAATAATTAAGGATTTAAAAGACCAACTTCTGTCTGGAACTTTGATGGTTCAACCCCACATATGAGGTCCTCATATATTGTCATATATAATTGAACATTCAGCTGCGTGATAAGGTCCAAGTGTCCAGTGAGATCCAATGTCCAAGTGAGATCTATTTTATCATCACGAAAGTCAACAATATATTAACAAATAAAAGATGGCTTATAATTTTAATAAAATGTCTCATATTTCCAGAACCAAGATAAACTCCTTACAATACCTTGCTACTTATGAATTATTTATTAATATATCTCCAGTTGATTCTGCAATAGTTGCAAACATAAATGTTTACCACAAGTTCGCAAACGTCGCAATTGTTTCTCGTCGGTTTCCCTCCATGGATTGCGAAAGTCCGAGTCCACGCATTTCTCGCAGTCGTCATTGTCTTCAGGGTCTTTTTCGACGTCGCCTAGGCTCGCAAATTTTACTCGCGAGAATATCCCTGGCACGAGAAAAATTCGACGATAACGCTTGTAACTGCAGGTGTGTACCGTGCGAAGCGGTACCACTCTTCCCTTTCTCCTTTTCGTTTTGACTGGCGACCAGCGCCGTTGGAAAACGTTTCGAACTCTCTCGCGTCGATTTTCGACGAAACTTTCGTCCAAAGTGACAAGCATCTCGTGTGAACTGATTCTGTTCGGCTCTTTAGCTAACTACTCTACGCCATTGTATAATACCGACATTTTGAAATACGCTTTCGGATGCCGAACGCACTTTCACAAATATTTCAAATACTCTTCTAGTTTTTTACCGATATCTCTTTGCTATTTCGAAACTCTGGAACGTCCGTCTGCTTCTAATTTGCAGACTGATTACGTACTTTGTTACGACGCAAAAATAGAGTAAATTTTAAGTAAAATGGAGATCAAATTGTTATTATAGATTAAAGTTACTGGTAGTAAAAATTATTACCATAAGCCACAGTAATTTTCTGTAAATTTTCAGTAAATTGTATGTTGAAGATTTACATTTAGAATGTATTATTTTATTTGCAAATCCATATGATTAATATACTTGTATCTTATCAGTAAAGATGTGTGGACAAACATTTACCTCGCAATTAGCATTCGATCAAAGTAAACTCTTCAATCAAGATAAACTTTCTAAACATTGAACTGTCATTTTGTAATTAAGTATATTTATACATAAGTAACAGAACAGCTTTGTTCAATCGAAAGCGATTAAAAGGAAGATAAGTAAACAGTTACCGACGGAGCTTTGAGGTTATGACGCCCGGAGGAATGCGGTTAATAATCAGGAAACGTGGCACGTAGAAGAAACGAACATTCTCTTTCGGTTTAAATCGATTAATAACGGTTCTCCTCGGCGAGGTGTCGGATCGACAGCGGCAATCATCGATTTAACGCCAATGTCATTGATGCCGTTTCAAAGAGACGTTCCTCGCGACATCGCATTTACGATTCCTTCAAGATTTCACGTGTCCCGTAACGGCAAAATTGCGAGCCGTGAAAGCGTTAGCCGAAGTGACTACATTTTTGTTAGCGTGACCGATCGAACTTACCGCTAGTTTCTATGTCACGGATCCGCAATAAGACTCTTCGACACCGCTATCCATACGTGCTATCTGTGTCTCAACGTCCTCTTCTCGTTTGCGAGCGTTAACGAAGGAAACCGGAACCTCCTAATTTGGATGAACTTCGTTAGCTTGCGATGATAATATTATTACGGAGTAGTAGTATTTTCAAAATGGCTACCAAGTGACTTCGCAAAAAATAAATTGCTTCGTTAATAAAAGTCTTCTATAAGTAAACAAGAAAAATTAAAATTTGTCTATTTGCTGTTTAGGGAGGATTTCGCTTGCAAATCTTGGACGCCCTCGACCGACCACTGGTGGATCTGACTCCTGTCACGAAAAATAGCGAGTTCGTGGAAGATGACGCCACGTGAGTGAAGACCGTTATTCTCCACATTCCCGATAGCTCGTAAAATTATGAGATTGGTTGATTTTCCAGGGCACAAAGTTACGCGGTGCAATTACCTCAGAATTTCACATGCACAGACTGCACGATTCGACTTTTGCGAGAGGCCGAAGAGTGGGGATCGAGTTACCGATTTTGGTCCTGCGCAGATATAGACGTACGCATTTTAAAGTTACACCTGATTTTTGAAACACCGTGTACAAGTGGTAACCTGTAATTTGTGCCCGTTAGATTATCGACAGAAAAAGCTACAGAGAAGATTGCAGCGGTCATGGCCGATATCTTCTGGGTCGATGCAGATGCGATCGACTGTATCACGGTACAAGGTGCGAATTTAAGGAGGAATGTCTGGACGATTCCGACTGCGGTATTCAGGGCACGTGCATTGACAATGGCGGCACGACCGCGCCCACCAAGCACTGCTATTGCAATATTGGCTGGTTCGGACCGGGCTGTGCCAAGAGTAAGTTTCAAAGATTTTCCATTCCTTTGGAGATATTTGAAGGAAATAGAGGATCTGGTGATAAAGGAATGTAGTAGCATCCCTTTGATATAGTTGGGAAGGAATGGGTGGTTATATCGCCATAGGTTGCATAGTTATTGGATCGTTGGGCGTAGTACGCTGTCGACGCGTGGTATGCCACGAGTTGTATCGCCATATGTTAGGGAGGAACGCGTGGTAATTGATTTGTATTAGTTCGCCACGCACTGTATTACACGCGTTGCAATTGTCACGTGGAGTAATCAATGCGTATTTTATCATGCGTAGTAATTACCACGTGTGGCAATCACCATGTGTGAGAATCACCACGCGTCGCATTCACCACGCGTGAGAATCACCACGCGTAGTACTCACTACGCGTCGTACTCACCACGCGTAGTAATCACCACGCGTAGTAATCACCACGCGTAGTAATCACCACGCGTAGTAATCACCACGCGTAGTACTCACCATGCGTAGTACTCCTCACGTGTAGTACTCACCACGCGTAGTACTCACCACGCGTAGTACTCACCACGCGTAGTACTTCTCGCGCGTAGTACTCACCACGCGTAGTACTCACCACGCATAACAATCACCACGCGTAGCAATCACCACGCTTAGTAATCACCACGAGTAGCAATCGCGGCCAACATCTGAACCTAACATTAGCAGCTCCATCTGGCGGCAAACGCCCAAGTATCGCCAATAAAATAGCTTTCTTGTTGCAAACTTTCCCAACACTCGAGTGTTAAACGCCGTGTCATAAATCCGTTTTAAACCTTGCAACTTTCTATGCGGTAATTGGCTCGCAAAAAAAGTTTAAATAACGTTTGCAAACGTTATAATTCGTTATAATTTGATGATTCGTTTCAGAATCGCCGATCAAGACCATCGACGTAGACCTGGACTCTTACACGATGAAAAAGTTCTCGGACAATTTCACGTTTTATTGGCGGATATTGAAAGAGAGCAAAGAACTGGAAGGAGTGATGGTAGTGAACAGCACTAGTTGGGTCGGAATTGGCTGGCGTCCAAGTGACCTGACTCCCTTATGTCGATCTTTCCCAAACATACAAGAAAGACCGAAAGACGAACCGCTTCCGCAGCCGGAACCGAAATCGGAACCCGAACCAAAATCCGAGCCAAAATCTGAGCCAAAATCTGAACCGAAGGCTGAACCGAAGCCTGAACCCGAGCCTGAGCCGCAGCCTGAGCCTGAACCCGAACCTGAACCCGAGTCTGGAACCGAAAGGTCCAGCGCTAAGAGAAGGTCGGCAAAAGCGCATGATATCGCGGCGCTAGCTGCGACTCCTAGGTCAGACACCGACGTGACGGTGCAGACGAGTGTTACTTATCGCGTTAGCACGAGGCAAGGTGAAAATCAAGTCTATTTGCTACATATTGTATTTATAAATTCAAGAATAGTTGATGTATATTGTTGTTCATTTGTTAGGGCGCAAGAAGAGGTCTCCAGAGTCGACTGCAGTCACAAATGGTACGTCTGGTTTCGTTTGAGTACAGATGTAGTACCTTGCTTCCCGTAATTATTTAGTAGATACGTAGTTTGCTTCCCGATAAAGTAGTATAAAGTATTTGGAGTTCCTGTTGTTTGATACACTGTGCACGTGGTGATGGATTTGTAAGAAATAAGTAGATAGTGGCACGACGAACGATGCTTTGTTGCACAGGGGAACCCGTCGCCGAGCCGAGCACTGTCAACAGCACCAACCCTGAACCAGAACCTAGTTCAGAACCTGAACCCAAGTCTGAACCTGAACCCAAGTCCGAGCCTGAACCGAGTTCCGAGCCAGAACCCAAGTCTGAGCCTGAACCAAGCTCTGAACCAGAACCTAAGTCTGAACCTGAACCAAGTTCTGAGCCAGAACCTAAGTCTGAACCTGAACCAAGTTCCGAGCCAGAGCCTAAATCCGAACCAGAACCAAAATCCCAGTCAGAATTCGTTCCTCAAGTCAAATCAGAACACGCAAGTGAAAAATCCAAAGCAAAGCTCATGTTGCCACCTGAATATGAACCCAACTCTGAACCCGAGCCCAAGTCCGAACCAGAACCAAGTGCTGAGCCAGAGCCCACCTCAGAACCCGAACCAAAATCCGAGCCAGAACCCAAGTCCGAACCAGAACCGAGTTCAGAACCCGAACCAAAATCCGAACCTGAACCCAAGTCCGAACCAGAACCGAGTTCAGAGCCAGAGCCAAAATCCGAACCAGAACCCAGTTCCGAACCAGAGCCAAATTCTGAACCGGAATCCAAGTCAGAGCCGGAGCCAAAGTCTGAACCCAGCTCGGAACCGGAGCCGAATTCAGGTCCAAAGTCAAGCGCAACGAAAGGTAACCAGCTGATTAGGCAATTTTGATGCTTTTGAGCATACTTGGTTTCTTCATGGAAAATCGTGGTGTAAGGAAAGAGTAGGACTCTATAAGTTGAAATATGTAGTAACTTTTAAATATTGTTCGCGTGACACAAGATGATTAACAAGAGAAGTAACTTCTGCTCCTTTTAATTCTTAAAGATCATCTTGTGACACAGTATGTTTCTCCTATACCGCCATTTTTCCTAGAGAAGCCTATTATGCTCGATACTGTACATATCGCACCAGCTTTATACTGTACAGAATCAATGTCGTCACATGTATATTACACATCATAGTAGTCCAATAAAATCAAAGTATATAAGTAGATGTAGTCAATAAGAAGTAATTCATCAGTAGTTTCAATACTAACCGTATAAAGTATCTCCATATAGAAATTGTAGGATGTTAATACACTTAAGTTACTCGTACCAGCTTCTTGTTGCTTATCCGTAACTTATCGAGTCTGCAGTACAACTTCACTACGCAATTACACATCTCTTCCCTAAGTCTACTGCAGTCATCATTCGCTTAATCCTTGTGAACCAGCTGTATTCTGACCTTCTTCTTAATCCTTGAAGCTATCCTACCTGGAGCAGGCCACAAGTACACGCCGAAGCACGATTTCAACCCTATGGACTGCACGGACATCATTATCGGATCTGCTCGCGGTGAGAGTCACAGGATCGGTGACTATTATACGAGGGACAGGTCCACGCCTCGAAAGGACGAGTACTGGGGTGGCAGGGAAACTCTAACTGCAGCCATGGGTTACGAACGCAATGGAGTCACAACGATACTCTTCAGACGAAAATTAGCAGCGAACGAACCGACCGATCACGAGATTGTCGATGCTAATATGCAGGTGATATGGGCTAAAGGTCAGGAACCTGGCAAGTACGTTCACCACCCACCCAGTGGCGTCGAGAAGGCCAAGGTTAGCGTGAAGGACTTTTACAAACCTGACGAGCTCAAGTACCATGGACATGGGTCGCAGAGAGGAGCAGTGACGCTTAATTTCTTTGGTAGGTCAAATACGTGTTTCGATCAGTGATCAATAAGTTAGTCCTGGTGACTGTTCGAGTTCCTCAGAACAGATCAGAAGATCAACTTCCTCAGTGAAGTCGATCATAGAGATGAAAAGTAGTTAGAGTGAATTTCTGTAAAACTTATGCATCCTTTAACGTCCACAGACGAAAAGAACAGACAAGAAGCAGCAGGTGGCAACGCTACGATGCAGGTTTCGAATTGCAGCGGTGAATGGCATTATCCCAGACATTGTGTTCCCGAGAATGGTACCTGTGAATACTCTATTCAATGGTCGTACAAGACACGAAAGGTAGTTTCCCACAAAGCGTCATTTGTTTACGATTGCGAAGATATAATTGTTGAAAATGTCTGTGCAGGACCAGTTATCGTTCATCATCTCGACGACCAATACGAATACTTGGACCGGGGTTGGATTCTCCAACGATCAGAAAATGGTACGCATTAAATTTTCAAGATTGAACTCAGGGACTCATTGAATCACCGTTTGATTTATAGTCTCAGACGGATGCGGTGTTAGGTTGGGTAGACGACAAATCGGGTCGACCTTTTCTCATGGATACTTGGATCAGCGGATACAATGCCCCGCTGCTCGATCCGTCTCAAGATATCTACAACACCGGCGGCAGCAAAGTGGATGGCGTAACGACGCTCAAGTTCTCGAGGAAGCGAGTAACAAACGACAATAAGGATCTCTCGTTCACGGACGAGCACTGCTTGTACATGATGTACCCCGTCAAGGGTGGCATGTTCAATGCTGTCAGCAAGAAAATACGCAAGCACGAGGCTGTACCCATTGTCTCGTCCGAGAGGATATGCATTAGATCTTGCGGCCTCGAAGGTTATTTCTCCTTGCAACTCTACTAGTTTGCTCGTAAAACAATTTTGACTAAAATCTTTTTTCTTTTAGAACTGGAGGAGATCACCACACCAGCACCGCCCAGGTGGCACTATAACGTTGAAGTGAAGCTGATAAATCTTGGCGACGGTTTCATGACGCCTGCTCCAGGTACTCCTGACTTCGAGGTCATCTCGAACAGAATATCAGACAGCTTTGGTCCGGTTCTTGACAAGCTACCCGGCTACTACCAAATTCGCCTGAACGAGCTACAGAAGTGAGTCCTACGATTACATCAGGCCAAATTTTCCATGCTTCTAATTTATGATAATTTAGGAATGACGAGAAAGATGGCGTCATCGCTCGCATGGATCTGATCCTGGATAAAAACGAAGTGAAAGGTAGATCGTTGAAACCTCTGGACACGAGTGCTGCGGCAGAGAAGGCGTTGAAGGAGGCTCTGGTTAATGGAAAGGTCGGTGCACTCAGTGTTGACCCTCAGTACCTGGTCGTCAGAGCTCCTCGAGGTAAATTGTGATTCTCTTTAGATACAGCAAAGTCTCGGTATATGGCGTGCATAAAACTATATCGACTAGATAACCTCCCCCTCAAAGAGTGCCATATAGCGAGACCAATACTGTTATTTAACCAGTACTTAGCTAAGTACTCTGCCCAGATAAATATTAAGTAAATATGCAACTTAAATTTGCAAATTTATTTGATCGTTTAGTAACAGATTTGGGTGGCGGAGAAGAACCAGAGGATTCATCGTCAACATTCGGCTCGAACTTGTTCCTCGACGCGACCAAACTGTACATTCTTGTGGGCTGCGTTGCTGCATTGCTTGCCCTTGCTCTTCTACAAGCGAGCTGCACCCTCTACAGATCATCCAGGAGGCGAGCAACAAAGGTACACCACCTATGCATATTAAACAAGTTTCGTTTTTTCTGTTCGCGTCTAATCGTGTGCACCTAACTGTTTTTTAAACGTTTCTACGATTGTGACGTTAGTTGCATTCTTATATTTACGCATGTCTTTCACAACTCTCTCGTCGATTAGTCGCTAATCCTTCAAGATTATAGATACTGTGAAAGAATTTCTCTTTTCATTTCCTGCTATTATTTCTTACATTTTCTCGAAGTTAGTGCAGAAATAAGAGAGAACACCGTGTAGCTAATAAATGGAACATATACAAGCAATATTAATGTGCACTTTGGTATCGCTAGCGCCATCTAGCGTTAGCAAGAAATGTTCTGCTCTTTAATGGTCTGAGCGAACAGTGATATTTTTAAGATCCTGCAAGGCTCGCAACAAGGATCCGTTCTCTGCTTGTTTCTGAATGACAAAGTAGGAGCATATCTCGGAAAGTAACAAGGCTTCAGTAGTCTCTTCGAGCGTGTAAGCATGAAAACAAGGTAGAAATCCCCGTTGAGTGACTCTGTATACTCTTCTTCGCCACAATTGAGACACGCTGGAACAAAAACGTCGGTCCCACCTCGAATTCAAGTTCTACCGTGTAACCTCTTCTTTGTGAACTCGAGACGATCTTCTGCTTCGCTTGTGTTGCATGATCCCCGCTCCTCGCGACCATCACGATGTTAAGAGGGTGTACTCGCTGCCTCTGGCTTCTTGTGACGCGCCCAACCCGATTCATCGAACGAACGCGACGCGGTATCATCGACAAAACGGCGATCACCATCACCATCACAACAACCACCACCATCATCTTCGGCATCATCACCAACACGCTCCGTACGATATGCATCGTCCTAATCCCAGCTGGTAGAACTTCACACTCGGTACACGATCAAGGCGCGTTAATATCACTCGTCGTACCCTCGTTCGCTCGCTAATCCAGGTACATTCTACACTGGTTCTGTTCTTCTATTGCTTTACTATTCTATTCTCTTCTATTCTTCTTGCCTCTTCTATCTACCGAGGTCGCATGTTGTAGTTCGAAGTCCTCGAACGAGGTGCTTATTTGTTTCTGCACAGAGTGTCTCAGTTATCGAGTTACAAATGTCGCGGGTGGGACGGTAGGATTGCATACTTCTAAAATGGCGGTACAGTGAGAGTCAAAACCCTTGTTTCTTTTCTGTACGCTGACGAGGAAACTAATGTGGGTCGAAATAGGTGCACGCGTCGCTATACAATATCTCGCAACGCGATTATAACACGTTCGTTGTCGATAATACGTAACGCCTTTAATTGTAGAAGAAAAGTAACAGTAATACGAAACATCTGATTTCAGGATCGTCTAATCGCCAGTAACGCTTGGAAGGACTACGCCTCCGGCGCGAATACAAACTTCGCTTTCGAAGCGTTCGAAACGGAAGAGAAGGCCCCACCACCGCCAGTCTCGAGTTTACCGCGTCACAGAGAGATGACCGGAAACGGATTGGGTACCGACACCGTGGAGGGTCCCACCCGAATGGTAGGACCCCGAGCGACCTACAGTCTGCCACGTGCCCCGGGAACGAGGCACACCGCGCCCATTCAGCCAGGCTACTACACTCAAGATCGCAGGGATCATTATCAGCGATCGAAGAACAACATGCACAACGCTAGCGGCGTTTCGACCCAACCGAACCAGCCCGACTTCTATTTCATGCCGAGTCAGCGCAAATACAGCGGCGAGGTCGTGCGCGTTTACGTAGATTACGGTAGTCAACCGTCAAAGTAACCATCCGGATCCGACAGACGACGAACAAGTAAAGGACCGTGAGAGATTTGCAACAGTGCCGCCCTCTTCTGATCAATTACCCCCCGGTCAAAAGCCAAGCGGACGATTTTACCTCCTCGCTTCAGTGAAGCGACCCTGTACATAAAACACACACGTTAGTGGACCTGGAGAGAACGAGACTTTTGAAACGAGCCCCTCCCTCCGGTGCTTTTCAATTGATGGATCGTTGTTCCGTTTCTCTGTCGTTGGTCCCGTTCGATCGGCTCGCCAGAGCTTCGAACCGAGGCATCGTCGCGTTTCGTTCACGAAATATCACACGCAGAAGTGGCGCTTACGACCAAAGAGTTATAGATAAGGCGCGTCCGATGGCGCGGTTCTGTACAAAAGCGCACCAAGCAACCAGACGACCGCGGTCTCGCGTGGTCGTTGCAATAACTTGCGATTGGCGTGTGGCCCGGGTACGATCGACCGTACCGATGTGCCCCAACAAATATCACATGTGTACTTATAACGAGCAAGCAATGGACGTTTAAACAATAAAACGTTTGTACATTTTTTCTTTTTTTAATCGAACGCACATCATCCTCTCTCCATCGCCAATGGAACCGTTCGTTCGTTTTCTTTGTCTCTTACATGTCATCGTTGGAGACACGCGCGTCCTCCGACGTTTACCAAAATAGAGTCTGAACGGTCAGAGAAAATCCCATTTAAATGCAATCAAACGTGTGTTCTTTAATAAAAAGATATAAAGACGTACATGTGCCAGACATGACCAAGTGCTTCCCACACAATAGCTACGTGGTCTTCGTCATTGGGTACCGACACCGTGGAGGGTCCCACCCGAATGGTAGGACCCCGAGCGACCTACAGTCTGCCACGTGCCCCGGGAACGAGGCACACCGCGCCCATTCAGCCAGGCTACTACACTCAAGATCGCAGGGATCATTATCAGCGATCGAAGAACAACATGCACAACGCTAGCGGCGTTTCGACCCAACCGAACCAGCCCGACTTCTATTTCATGCCGAGTCAGCGCAAATACAGCGGCGAGGTCGTGCGCGTTTACGTAGATTACGGTAGTCAACCGTCAAAGTAACCATCCGGATCCGACAGACGACGAACAAGTAAAGGACCGTGAGAGATTTGCAACAGTGCCGCCCTCTTCTGATCAATTACCCCCCGGTCAAAAGCCAAGCGGACGATTTTACCTCCTCGCTTCAGTGAAGCGACCCTGTACATAAAACACACACGTTAGTGGACCTGGAGAGAACGAGACTTTTGAAACGAGCCCCTCCCTCCGGTGCTTTTCAATTGATGGATCGTTGTTCCGTTTCTCTGTCGTTGGTCCCGTTCGATCGGCTCGCCAGAGCTTCGAACCGAGGCATCGTCGCGTTTCGTTCACGAAATATCACACGCAGAAGTGGCGCTTACGACCAAAGAGTTATAGATAAGGCGCGTCCGATGGCGCGGTTCTGTACAAAAGCGCACCAAGCAACCAGACGACCGCGGTCTCGCGTGGTCGTTGCAATAACTTGCGATTGGCGTGTGGCCCGGGTACGATCGACCGTACCGATGTGCCCCAACAAATATCACATGTGTACTTATAACGAGCAAGCAATGGACGTTTAAACAATAAAACGTTTGTACATTTTTTCTTTTTTTAATCGAACGCACATCATCCTCTCTCCATCGCCAATGGAACCGTTCGTTCGTTTTCTTTGTCTCTTACATGTCATCGTTGGAGACACGCGCGTCCTCCGACGTTTACCAAAATAGAGTCTGAACGGTCAGAGAAAATCCCATTTAAATGCAATCAAACGTGTGTTCTTTAATAAAAAGATATAAAGACGTACATGTGCCAGACATGACCAAGTGCTTCCCACACAATAGCTACGTGGTCTTCGTCACGAGACGAGTTTCAAATTTAGAAAGTTGGAAAATTGGGGAACTAGGAAATGCAGGCTTAAAAATAGGGAAACCTGAAAACTTAAATATTTATAACTTTATAAAGTTCTAATATTGAATCAATGATTAAATATATTTGATGCCATTTTCTTTGTGTCGCGTAGCGAACGAGTCCATTAGAGTCCACTAAGTATGGTGGATGTTCTCCTAAAACTTATTGTAATAAGAAAATAAAAATGGTAACCGAATGTAGCTCGCGAGCTATCACTTGGTCATGCCTAACTTATGCATATCAACAAGATACTGTCATCGATAAAAAAATTTCAGAAACACCTATTGAATTGAGGCAGTGATCGTCGACGTATCAACGCACACATAAAACAAACAAAAGAAAAGAAGTAAACTAAAACAATGAATATGTTCGCGTAAACGATTAAGTACCAATTAAAATGGCAACGCTAAGAACAAGAGTGACGCAGAAAACAGCACCCACAAAAGAAAAGTATTGCACTGAGAGCACCTAAGTTTTATGCTAGCCGTTAATGGATATAGAAACTGTAATACTTACAATGACGACACTGTCGACGGACAAATTGTGTTGGTTCGGATTATAAATTATTACAATATTGGTAAAATTAACGATAATACTTGTAATAATCATAATAACGATAGTAGCAATAGTAACGATGGCAATAATAATATTACAGTATTAATATTACATTAACGTCGTTAACAACGGCGTCGCGCGCAGAACCATGACTTCCGACGTGTTTTTTTCCATGACCGATGGAATATTCAAGATCATCATCATCATAATCATCATCATCATTCATAATAATAATAATAATAATAATCATAATCATAATCATAATAATAATAGTAATAATAGTAATAATTACAATAATTATAATAAGGCGGCGCCATCAGGTAAGCTTTTTAAATACCTCCGAAAGTCCGTGTGTTCGGAAGCCAATTATAGCACGCATTGCCTCTCCTGATTCTATTATTACGTAACTAGTTTATCGAGCACATAATTTTTTTTTGTTTCCGGTCCTACCGTAAAATCTTTTATTTTTATTCTCTTCGGTCACACGGTGCGAAGTATGAGAAACAAGGGTTTCTACACGTTCTGAGTCACGTGAAAGCATACCCGCCAAAGCACACCATGGAAAAAAGAATTTTTATACCCCTTCACAAACACGAGGAAACAAAAGTACCGTAAAAAGTACGTTAGCGAATAAATGCGCCTTCGAACATAGTATATATGTATGTGTATATATATACGTGTATATGTGTGTGTGTATGTACGTGTATTTATTCTTACAAGCAGTTTAGTTGGTACAACAGAAACGAATTTTCAATTCGCTCGTTTCGAATTGCCGTTGGCGGGTATGCTGATCCGGCTACTTTTTCATTTTTTTTTTCTTTTTTTTGTTCTTTTTTATTTCGTCACTATCGCATTCTGTCATTCGAGCACATACAAGCATGCACGAACTCGCGCGCAACAAACACACATACACGCGTACATTCATTCCTCTCGTTTCGCGCCCTATCTCCTCGTTTTTAGGTATCTCCGTTCATATTTATTCCTCGTTCGGTTTACTCGCGCACTCGTCATCGTTTCAAGAACACATACAACGCGTAAAGATCAGCAGAGCACATTATTTTTTTCTTTCTCCCCCGACCCGTCGATCAAAGCAGTGTAATAGAGATAACGGACAGGCGAACATCTGATAAATGGAGTGAACACGATAGTAAGGCTTAATTTAAATTTGTTAGTAAATTGTGTAATACCGCGTGCGCGTGTACATTTTTCTGTGTGCACAGACGAAGCCTGTTTTTCCACGCAGGTATGCACTCAAGACGAACAAGGGTACCTGTGCCACTCGAATCGAGCGCTAACCCTGTCCCCCACTCGGAAACGTACGATCGTCTCCTTGCATAATTTATTTTCTTATTCGAACGATGTCTTTCTCGTTACGGAACTTGTATCAATCCGCTTCCATCTTTCTCTCTTTCTTGTACAGCTATGTATTGTCACTCCGGCAGATGCCCAAGATCGTTCCCCATATCCGTTCTGCTATCCTGCATCGCTCTCATTCATCCGCCGCTCATTGTTCGTTGGTTCACTTTCTCTGCCTAACGTCGGAATCCTTGTTGGGCGTTGGCTTGCTACAGGATAAAATTAGAATCAGTAAACAAAGTCGAACTTCATGGAATTTGGCGGATTATGAGAATGAGTGTTATAACTGATCAAACGAACACTGTGCAACTTGACTCATCGATAACATTACGTTACAAATTATACCAGCCATAGTTATCGATTAAATATGAAGTCGCAATATAGTACAGTCTATGACCCGTGAAATAAATTCTCCTTTACAAAGACTTTCACGTAATGACGCTCTTCTACCAAAGTAGGAATTCTAAAATATCCTGTACATTAGTAGGACATGCACTCGACTGGAGTTGTTTTACGTCTACAGTATTCTTTCTCCGAGGTCCAGGAACAGCGGTAAGCTTTGATGGGGAACACTGTAAAGCGGTAATGGGACAATCGGGCAGGAGCGGATAATCGTCGTTGCTTAGAAGGATCCAAGGAGTGCGATTGGGCTTTGTGACCTGAAGATTCTGGCATGTCAGGATTGACCGGTAGTTCGGACGGTGGAAGAGGACCGCGTAATGGAATGTAATACTCCAACCTGTCGTTCTTTGGACCAGGGTGTCTAGTCAAAATTAAAAAATGCCATGAATGCTAGATGCTTAAGGAACTGTGAAGGCGGACGTGATACGTACGTGTCAGGACTCTGATCAGTATCAGATTCTTCGAGTTCAGCCTTGTTTCGTTTCTTTTCGTAAACTAGAATAATGGCGCACAGAACAGCGACCTCCGCGCAAATGCCTAGGAAAGGCCAGAGTGCAGCGAACTTGTCTTTGACCCTAAGGAATGTTTCGGCCACTGCCACGTGATCCTCGGCTTTATCGGACCAATTGTAGGTTACCCTGCAGGACACCTTACCACGATCATTCATCTCGATGTTCTCGACGATTAGAACAGCACCGTAGATGCCTCTTTCCTGATCCCGACCGATCTTCACACGACCCTTGCTACGAGTGTAATTCTGGTCGCCAAACGTCCAAGTTACCTTAATACCAGGACTCTGTTTACCGAGGCACACTAAATGCAGCTTCTCTCCTTCCACCACGCTCGTCGAACCGGGCAGGAGTGCCGTGGGTTTTGCTGCAAATACAAATTAACATCGTGAAACTCCGAAACATTTCCTTACACTTCGTGACATGAAAGATACTCACGCACGAGTCTGTATTCTGTGGAGGAGTTGGTTCCTTTGCAAGTGTAATTTCCGAAGATGACTTCTGTGCTCTTCAGAATTTCCAGAGAGCCAGTTTCGTTGTCTAATTTGTAAACATCATCGCTGCTAGCCAAAGCTGTGTGTAGTGGAACATTTTCTTTAAACCATTGCAACTTCTCACCGGCGGTTCTGTTTTCACATTCTAATACCACAGGCACATCCTTTGACGTTACCACTTTGATCTTGACGTCTGTGTCAAAGAAGAATGATGTTAGCTTGCTGAGATTATTTGAGTGACAAGAGATTTCTGTACACTTAAGCTTCTTTTGGGTAAGAATAAGCACGGAGGAAGGAGTCTTCGGTTCAGAGAAGATCCAGGGAGGATCTGGGTAAAGTCTGGGGAGAACTTTGATCCTAGGAGTAGTATAGGAGCAGGGAACAAGTCTGGGAATCTCAAAGGAGCTTTGGGAGAACCTAAGGTTCAGATGAGAACCTTAGAGGAACTTCAGGGTGGAGAACAGGGCCAAGATAGAAGTTAGGTGGAATATAGAACCCAGGTAAAAGTTAAGACTTAGCTGAAGACTAAAAACCTAAGTACAACTTAGAATGTAGGGAAAATTTAAAGCCTAGGAAAATCTGAAGCCTAAAAAAAGCATAAGAAAAGTCTAAAGCTTCATGGTTGCATTGTTTCAAATCATGTAACTGAATTTAAAGAAAGTTACAAGCATGGTAACTCGACTGCAGTTATATAACACTTTTTTAGAGCCATGAAGCTATTCAAGATTCTGCTACATTTCTTATCTTAAACATTGTTCTTATCAGGAGACTTGAGAGCTTGTTATCTATAAAATGTGTAACAAAAGCGATACAGGAATCGATTTATCACGTTTGAGAGTAAAGTACACCGTCATACTTGTTGTACCTGTTCTTTACGCACTTAGGATGATTAACACAATTTATAGTGACGGGCCTGATAATTGTTTCACGCCAAGTTTCTTGCAAAATCTACATTCTTCTGCTAATAGTTCTGCCGTTAAACAAGCTAAATCAAGCAAGTTCAATACATACATTCTACGAAATAGATACGGATCTAATTGGCTATCTGTTCCCTCTAATAGTCTTAAATTCCAAGAATGTATTATTAATTGCAAGAGTACGTGATATTTTGTTAACCAATCGTTAAACTCAAAGACGCAGCAGTTGTTAAAAACAAATATAATATTTTCAAGGCTTCGCGAAAGCTCTATCTTCCTCCTGTTTATGAGGAAGAACATTTCTCGTTGATAACAGACAAGTTTCAAACAAGCAGCTGCAATGATTACAAACGAATAGCATAAACAACTGCAGATTACATCACATCGAATGCGTTTTCCTCGTTACTCGAAAACTGTCATACATTCTTCATGGAAAATGAACGTTTTTGTTTATCACAACCTTATGCAACGGACGAAGGAGCATAAACAAAAGCGGACAAGAATCAGCTATTAATCTTACCAGAACGTTATCAGATTCTATTGTTATCGAACACAAAAATCTTAATAGGAACATTTCAACGATTCTTAACAATTCTTCGAGCCATTATTCCATTTCACATAATCTAACTCGAGCCTACACAATAGATATTAATCGTAACTAATTACCATTTACATTCGCGTAATTAAATAAACGTCCAAGCTAGTGCGTCATCAGAACGAGGAAGGTTCATCAACAAACGGTGAACACGAAGCTTCGTGCTGACGCGATACGTTCCTGAACACTTTCGTCGCTCGATAACGGCTTATCAGAAAAGCATTTAGCCGTGAACAATTCGAGCAGTAAAATTTCACATGATATGCAAGCGAGAAGCGAATGCGGACGTCATTATCTTCCGTCTAAGCAGCGAACTTTGAACAATAGATAAATGTAATCCGCTAATTGTAAGGTTTAACGTTATTAGAAAGATAAGGTACAAAGTTGAGTCTGGAATCAGAGATGCGCTTTTTCACTGATTGCTTGCTGTACTGATTTAGGTAGTTCAGGTCACATTTTACTTGAGGTACTATTCTTCAAATGATATTCTACTTTAGGTCTTGTGTTCCAATTCTGGTTCAAGTTCTGCTTTTTCTGATATTCTTCTGAAGGTCCTACAATTCTGATCCTCTAATTTATATCTCATTGTTCCAATCTGGCCTTCTAATCTCCAGGAGTTCCAATCTTCAGATCCTATCTTCTTCAAGTTCTACATTGCAACCTCATCCTCAGGTCCAAATCTGTTCTAATCTTGTCAGGTTCTGATCCCCTGGTCCTCTTCAGGCTCTACTTCTACAGTTCAAATACACCTAGTTTACATATTCTTATCTCCCAATCTACATAATCCAGAAAAGCAGGAACTCGCAAATCAATCAGCTGAAATCCTTCCGCAATCTCGCACTCTGTGATTCCAGACTCGTTTCGTGCAACTGAATCTCTCCGCATGCAACAGGATTTTCTCGTACGGGGTACAAACATGCAACAAACGAAAACGTAATGAACATAAAGCATGCAAAATAAACTGCAGTTAAAGGGGCTCGGTAATACGAACCGACGTATATCCACAGATGGAAAGCCTCGGTTTTATCCGGGGTGCATTTGTAGTCTCCGTCGTGGCTGTCCGTGGCGAATTTTGCCCGCAGTGTGCTGCTCGTTCCGCCCACGGGCGAGTCAACGACCAGCTGCCCGCTCGCCAACTCCATCTCGAGCGACTGTCCGTTTCTGGTCCATCTAAGATCATCGTTCGGCCCCAGGTCTTTGCATTCGATCCACCAAGGCTGGCCCTCGTGTACGATCGTCGCCGACCCCTTGTAGGTTACTTTATCGGGAAGAACATACGAGCACACGTCAAGAGGTTTACAACGACGGAAATACGGAGGGTCTGGACATCTGGTTTTCTTGAGGACTGGGTCAAGTGCAGGGTATTATGTTCAGATTACGGTGGTGATACCGACATTCGACACCCGATCCTTTCTTCGTAATTTACCCTTCGAATTAATCCATGCAATCTTCCACCTTACCCCATGCGCCAAGTGTTTCTTACTTTTGGAATATTTATGGAACGTACTCGGATGCAACATTAAAGTTTCTGGGAGTTTAGAGACTCTGGGCAACCTAAGACATAGACTTTGGATATGGGATCTTAGGAGTGAAGGAACCTGGAGACTTTAGGTCCCAGAAGGATGGGGTCATAGGACTCAGAGGGGGCTTTGGACCTAGGAGAATTAAAGGGTGAGATCTGGTAGGGAAGTTATGATCCAGAGGATCCTGGGATCAAAGATTTGAATCTAGATCTAGAAGACCTTAGAATCTAGAAAGATCCTAGGTCCAGATTTTGGAGCATAGGAGCTTCTGATCTAAGAGATTATGACCCAGATAAGCTTAAGACCTAGTGTGATCTTAAGACCTAATCTCCCCTTAGAAGGGCAGAGCCTAGATCCCAGATATTTAAGATTTGTAGAGACTCAAAATTTGAAACCTAGAAGCTTCTGATCCAGAAGTATCTAAGTCCAAATCACAGGAAAGTGTGAAAAGTATTTAAGGAACAAGAAGAGACATATCTAAATCTCAAGAATTCAAATAGTAGCCTAAGTCCCCTAATCCGAGATAAAACACCCGAATGCATTAGAGTGTCTGCACACCATAATGATTCTCGTTCTACTTAATCTAAGACACGTGCTTAGATACAGGTAAGCTTATGAATGAGTCTACCTAAGAGACCCTGAATGAGCGGCATTCATAGAGCTCCCTTCCCTTCTTCTTTCTCTTTGAAAGAGTTGCAATAACCGCAACTGCCTCATGGTAATCCTTTGGGTACCGTGACGGCACGTTAAAAGCGCGAGCTCAATTACAAGGCAGCTAGCCTTACTACTGCCGCGGCACGAGACTTTCTGAACGAAAGAGGTGAGACCTCGCTTGACCGGGATTCAATTTTAGGGTTTCTCGATTATCAGACGCGTATCGGGTGACGCACTATAGTAACGCGACTGCAAACATTTCTCTTCCCAAACGAACTCACAATTCATGTTTTGTGTAATTCTCTCAAATTGTGGAGTTAACTGTGATGACAGGAGGATCTTAGGGAACTAAATTTGGATGGAAGGATATGAAGAGATATGCACCATAGTCACATTTTTACCGTGCATCAACGTTACTATTGATATAAAAATGCGGTTCCATTAGAGCAACTTGATTCGTTTTAGTCTCACAAGCTCTCGATTAAGGAAAGATGGGGGACATATCCTTGGAGGCTCCTTAAAGGACCACCTTCCCCACCTCTGAACTTGGTCGACTCGTTTCTGAGCTCTTGCTGAGACAACCTCGAATTCCGATTCAATTTTCTGCGAACCTATAATTCTCCCAAAGTACCTCAGGGAAGCTTACGTTACACCGGAGTATCCACTTGGCGTACAATAAATTAGCAATTTCTTATAAACAAGTTTCTACATAAACAAGTGGTAACAAGTAGCGGTACATTGTGGTCCGAGCAATATTTTCCTAGCACAAGTTTATGAAAGATATCGTTCCATAGAAGCAATTGTCTAATCTGCTTTCGGTAGAAAATAGAACTTTCGTACCGATTCTAAGCCGTAGAAATAAGCTCCGAAACCGAGCGCCGCCAAAAAGTCAATCACGTTTATATAGAAGGCAACGGGTGCGAAACGGAGACGAACGTGTTAATCCGGTTCCGTTTGCAGGCAGGATACACACGTTTATACTCTGTCGTGATTATTTTTAGCAGTTTATTCTTTTACGTAGAGAACCCTGTCGTCCTCGTGTACACCAACTCGACCAGATGAAATTATAATGCATGCAGGCCGAAGAAAAGGGATTGATAATCACGAACACGCCGGCTGACCTATAAAGTGGCTGCTGGCTTCTGCCTTTCCTGCCTTAAGTGATTTAAGAATACACCGCGAACGGCGATACCACGATCGATGATTGTTTGGACTTTAAATATTTGCGTAATACGATTTTCATTTAACTCTGCAGTCTTACGGATGCCTTTCGGGCTACGTTTAACGCCGTTTTGGCACTCTGGAATTTTTATACTCTTCACACAGGGGGCTTTGGAGGTTGGAGGAATTTTGGGGGACTTTGTGGAGGACTTTGGATGTGGAGCTTAGGGTTGGGTCTTGGAGGACTTTGGGGTTTAGTGGAGGACTTTGGACGTGGAACTTAGGGTTGTTGGGTCTTGGAGGACTTTGGGACTTGGGGCTTAGTGGAGGACTTTGGACGTGGAACTTAGGGTTGTTGGGTCTTTGAGGACTTTGGGATTTGGGGCTTAGTGGAGGACTTTGGACGTGGGGCTTAGGATTGGAGGACTTTGGGACTTGGAACTTAGTGGAGGACTTTGGACGCGGGGCTTAGGGTTGTTGGACCTTGGAGGATTTTGGGACTTGGAACTTAGTGGAGGACTTTGGACGTGGAACTTAGGGTTGTTGGACCTTGGAGGACTTTGGGACTTGGGGCTTAGTGGAGGACTTCGGACGTGGAACTTAGGGTTGTTGGGTCTTGGAGGACTTTGGGACTTGGGGCTTAGTGGAGGACTTCGGACGTGGAACTTAGTATTGCTGGACCTTGGGGCTTAGGATTGTAGAACTTCAGAGTACTAACTTAAGAAGCTTGTGTCTTTGAGACATTGGAACTTTAGGACCTTGGGACTCTGAGATGTCCTCGACATTTTGAGAGCTTGGAACTCTAACTCCTCAGTTACTTACAACTCTAAAACGTTTGAACCTCAGAATTTTAACTCAAGATGGGAACCTTGAGCCTCCTTATTTTAGGACCTTGAAATCTGAGAATCCTACAGCCTTAAAATCTCAGAAACCTCCATATTTTGACCTCAGAAACAATTTACCCTTCACAACATGAAACTACAAGTAACCGTACTCGCTCTAAAACCTTGAAACTAATTTAAGCTATCGAACCCAGCAAAATTACAAATGAGCTTCGAAACTATACTCAAAGGCTGAGGAAAATTTGTGGTAGAAAATTAATCGATAAAAAGAACGGTATCAAGGCTTCTTCACGTCAGAAGTTCGAAACGAACAGACAGATAAGGAGTAGAACTGGGCCGTTCTGTTTAGGACGCGATTTACAAAGTTGGAAGCGTACTAGAACGCAAAGTAGGATGGAAAAGAGATCGATAACACGGCGAACACGTGCCGCATGACCCTAAGCATCGGAAATATCTATATATTAAATGATGTGCTCTATATTGGAGCGAATAGGGATTGGAAGTTTGTGAAGTTCGATAGAGAGAAACGATTGGTATCTTTCAAGGATATCGTGTTAATTTGTAAGTTGTTTGACAAAGCGTCGGGTTAACGATGTTTCATCCTAGGAAGAAACCGCATGAAACTGGACCGAATAGAAATAGCACAGCGATGTCTATTGTCCAGTGCCAACGTATGGTCCAGCGTAACTTGTCGAATTGTGCGAAAATGTTCGAGGTATTTCTATACAGAAATATAGAGTAGGATGGAGGACGTAGAAATTGGAACGCCCGTGATCTAGGACGCAATTTGGCAAGTTGGAATTGCACGTGTGATGGTGCAGAGGTAAAAGAGCCAATGCTCATAAACACGTTTCGTTTCCCTTGACGACGCCAGAGGTCGATAATTTTCATCCGTCTTGCGTTACTTATCCGATTATAGATTTAACAAAAACGGCAAAAAATGGACGTAATCGATCCCCGAATCGATACACCCAATTTGTATTACTAATTCGCTTGCAAGCTGTGCTCTCGTGGATAAACAAATTTCAAATACGGGTCAGCTGAAAGCCGGTCACTGCACCTACTGATAAACTTATCGACTTGATGTAAGCGAGGGTGGAGCCAATCGTGAACTTTCCAATTGCAATACGTTGCAATTTTTCTGCTCCAATAAACTTAACAGATAGATGAAATTACTTGGAGAACGCGCGATAATCTGATGCAATTATCGGTACATAACCGAGGAAAATCTGCAAGAGGAAAAAACAGCAGATTTTCAACCGACTCAAATACTTGTTTCAGAGTTACATCTCGATAACGAGCCTCGAGTAATTTTTTCCTCTATCTTTTTATTTGTGAGATATCCGGCGATAAACACGACGTTTAAAATCCGATATCGTAGTGGCTAAAGCAAACAGACGGTCAGATTAGTATAACGTTTCGCGTTAAAGGTTAAAGAGAATCGTGTCAAGTTTGTTCGTTTAATTTTCTCGCCGCGGTGCGCTTTCACCTCGCGAAAAAAGAATTCAATGAAATTACAATACGCTTGCTCGGAGATTGGAATTTTAAAAGAGCGTGCTCCAAAGTCTGAATAGACTTTCGATCTGTAACCCGAACATAAATCGGTATTATAAATAGAACGAAATTTGTAGCGCGGTGAAATCGTCGTAAAACTAACCAAACTGTATCTTTTTTAGGATGAAACAATATACGCGTGTTTACGCATGTTTACGTCAGTCAGTCAATAAAAGATCCTACTTCGCTTACGTCATTTCGGGAAGGGATAGTGAAACGTACATTGTGGCCACGAATATACACATATTTCCATGCGATACGTTTTATGGTAGCCTGTGTTTATAAAAAAACGTATAAAAGAGAGGTTATCAAGTTGTAAATATGGTCACGTGCCGGTATTATATTTGATCGCAAAGATCGAGTAAACAGGTAACCACGGTTGAACGATATCGAACAATCATCGTTTTTCCGCCATTTTTTCTTTTTAGTTCCTGCGGCAACCGCGTCAGAATAACCTATTATGACTTTCTTAGGAAAGTCAATAGGATTATCGTACCATAAAACGAGGTTAAAATCGCTGAAATAATAATTTAAAGGGAAATTTATCAGTCTGTGTAATTTCAAGATAAAATTCGTTACGATTCGAAACTGGAGTCAACGATTCTCTTCTAGGTCAGGTGCTCACATTAGGTTTCTATAGCTTCAAATGATACCAGACACGCGTGCATCTTTTTTTCTTCGAAAATCCATTACAGGCTGGAAAATTACACGTAACTACGGATTAGTGGAACCTGGAGATTTATCGATGACATTCTAATGAAACACAGATTACATGATTGACACAGAAACTCGACATGCATTGGTGTTTGTCGATGATTTAAATGACTTCATCTGAAGTCTTGAATCATCGACTAAACGTGTTTGAACCTTATAATTAGAATCTGTTTGTATTACTATTTAATATTAATAAGTATTTAATTTAACGTGTATAATATTAACAAGTATCGTACGAGGCTGTTCAAATTTCCCGCGCCAATTTGCACGCCTCAACTTTCCCGCGTTAATTCGATTACGTTTAATATACGTCGTAATGTACAGCACCGCGAATAAGACTGTCTTATAACTCGAGAATTCGATACGACCAAATTTTCCTCAAAGGCATTTGCCTTTTGAACCCATAAAATCAGTGATTATTTCGCAGAAGTGTGAATAACAGGGTAACAGGATCGCATGAGGTATCACGTGACCAGGCGTTTCGATGACGAATAGGTAAAATTACAACGCTATGCCACAATACTGGGCATACAAGTTGCTGTACGTCACGATACATTTGCCAGCGACTGTAGCAAAGGTCGGTCATTATTTAAGGATGTGATTCACCATAGCTTACTACATTTTACATTTTATCGGTAAAAGAACAGTACTTTCATCACGATATACGCGAGTCTTCGATTACATTATCGTTCCTAGAATGACTCATCCATTAATGATAATGAGTTATTTACCTTGTAGCAATACATTTTTAACGTTTCTAATCAGGACTAATCTCTAAAGTATCTCAATTATCTCAATAACTTTCCGTAGAGGTTGCTTTTTGTTGCTCCTGTAACACAAAAGAACACTCGCAGATAAGGGCTTGTAACGTTCTCGAGTATACCTTTCAATGGATCTACTAATCTACGCTGATTGCGCACTCGTTCTCCCTGTGCTCGTATTTGAAACCAGTTCTAACCTAGACCTAACCCAGACCCAGAATACAGAAAGACGGACAAAAGTTTCAGCCGGTTCGGTCGGCGAACACTGTTACGTAATCCACTAAAGATACTCTAATGAATTTATTTCGGTGATGCATAAAGTAATTCTTGTAACCGACATACCGCGCGACAAGTAAACCAAAAACACGTTGGCCTAGTTCAATGATGGGCAGATCAAATGCCCGTCGAAGAGCTCGGGACGAGCACGATGCGCACGGCGATGAGAACCACGGAGTTTAGAAGTTTTTAAATATAAAAATTCGAAAAATTTAGAAATTGATCCATTAGAATCGAAGTGTGCACTTGCCCGCCACTTACTTCGAACGAGGGACTACCTACACACTAGACAATGTTTGCATACCAGCAGGATAATGTAAGAAAGCGGGCGATCGAAGAACACGAAACCGTTCGTGTCTGTAGACGGAGGACGCAGAATAGCGAACTCGGCGAAAAACGTATTCGAAATCGATCGGCGCAGTCATGTCCGATATCTCGAACGACGCTTAGATATCGAGATATGTATTTGCTCTGGCCTCGAGGTAAAACGAAACCTTTGGAATTATCTCCTAACCTAAGATTTTCTAGTTGAATCACTCGTTAAATATCAAAAGTGGTCGTTGTAAACACAATAACGCAGTGTTATTACTAAACGAAAATAGTTTGTTCGAAACGAAATAATCGACGACGCGAGTGGCGGAGAATAAAAGAACTGTCGAGAGTTTCGAGTTTACATGGCGTTACTATCGTTGCAATATTCTATGGTACACGCCGAAGGGTCAAAAATAGATGCGCGTTCCCAGGGTTAAACGTAAGCATTCTTCTCGTCTGGTTTGTGAGCGACGGCAAAACAGAGCGGATGAAAACATTCACCGTGTTAGAGAATGGAGGTTAAGTTTACATTTCAATAAACAGGCATGCCAGCTAAGAATATAAATGACGAAAACACGTGCTAATCCCGATAGAAATTAAATTGCATATATGTTATTTTCTGTCTGTCCTATATTTAAAAAAAAAGATTTACTATCGAACTGTTACACGCGACGCGTTGTAATGTCTCCTCTCGAATCCCATAAACACGACGCGAACAAAATGGAAATTATATTCGTAGACTCTGAATCTAAATATAAGTATTCTGACGAACGCCTGAAATCTTTTCACGCGACACATTTTCACATCGTGCACGTTCCTTCGATTCTGAGAACAATATTTTAAAACATCTACACTCCTTTGTGTTTACAGTCGCAGATAATATATGAAAAAGAAATTCATTTTATAAATTTTAATACGATGACGCTCGGTGTGAGGAGCATAGAGTATACTGTAGATAGGCTTACCTAAGGAAAATAACGGAATATTCAAATACCTAAATTATTCATGTTCGATATTAAAATTCGAATACCACAGGAGTAATTCTGAAATGTTGCAGCAATGTTTTCGACATTTTCCCTGGGAAAGCTTTCCATGCTCGACACTGTACGCTGTCTAAAATATGTCGCGATACATAATCACTGCTGGTAGATCGTGTCAACATCTCGCGGATTTACGTAATTACCGACCGAACATGAACTTCCGCCTAACGATCGTTAAAAGTCGGTAAAGTTTTCTGGGTGGACGCAAAATAGGGTCAATTGTTACGCAACAAAAGTTGCTTGGCGTGGGTACTTTGCGTACGTCTCTCGGAATGTAGCTGCAGCATCGAATCCCGGTGTCTCGCGTCGGTATATAAGCCAGAGGTGCGCAACTCGAATGATCACTAGGTTCAAAATTCTGCCGATATCGCAGTAGCTCGAAACAGAAATGCTGATATCGGTAATGTTACCGATAAATATCGCGAACATTAACATATCGTTCAAACAGTTATTCTTATTTAAATCTGTAACCTAACCTAACCTGAGACACCAATTCATCATTTGGAATTTATTATTCTTGTCTGAAGTTAGGTTATATTTTAAACAAATTCGAATGAAGGCCTTGTAGATCAGATTAAGTTAGGTTAGGTTTGAGGCTTAAATAAAACAGAATTTGTATAATAAAATGTCTTAAACTTTTCTCGACCACTCAACGATAGTCTTAGTAAGATGTCGATAATAAATCGATAATCGATTTCGAGATACCTTTAGCTCGAAGCTGCACATCCGTGCACACAACTTTCCGCGAGCATGTCGTAAGAAAAATATTCGAATAAAAAATTTACACGTGCGTAACAAATAGCCGTTTCAATGATTACCAGATAGTAAAATAACTTTGGAAGCGAAGATCGTACAAAGAAGATGATTGGCTGCGGCACACGTGATACATTAACTGTTCGCAGTATCGTGTTCGATCGAACATTGCAGGCTATGTAATCAAATCGGGGCGGGATATCGTTATTACGAATCTCAATTTCTTCAGAAACCACTTCACGTAATCCGACAAGAGAAGAATCGTTAAAATATTCATGCGATTCGCGAAAACAGCACGGATGAAAATGGGTTGATAGAATCACGTATTCAATACCGCGCGAGGACACTCGCATTTCTAACGCGATGCAGTATAATCAAAACTAAAAATAGAATTTCATAATCTGTCAACATATGTCGGCTGTTTTAATGTGGAGTGTCCCACGAAAATCTCGCACAGGGAAAACTGCAATTTTTTTAATTAAAAATGCAACGGTTATTGGGCAATTCATACGGGCGAGAACTAATCTCATAAAAGTTGATAAGATAACCATGTTCATAAATACGGATGTATGTTAAAGATGTATTTAGGAGGACAATGTGACGTAGAATGACGAGCATGGTAGGCTTCCCTAGAGAAAATGACACAGGGAAGGATTCCATTACTAGTTCATTTTTTATTAATAAATTTTCTAATTTATGAGATTGGAAATTGGAAAACATAAAAATTTAGGAACTTTGATAACTTGGAAATTTTTTATATTTAAAAAGATATGAAGTTTAGAAATTCGAAATTTGAAAAGTTTAGGGATTTGGAAATTTGGGGATTTGAAGATTTCAAAATTTTAATTGGATATACAAGAATCCCTAAAATCGAAGGTAAGTGGTGGGAGACTCCTCCCTCTACATCAGTTCTTATTCCAAGGAAGCCTACATTGCACCGAAGTGTACGTCAGTACTGACAGCTTTCTTAAAACTGACAGAGCAGCATGTATCCTCGAAAATGGACACGGTGTCAATAAAATTGTGTCATTCTTGAAAATCAAGGTTGGAACAACAAGGAAAACTGTGACGAATTTTAATCGAACAAATGTATTGCTAAAAATAGAAACGTGATTAAAATTCGACTGGTTTCTCAACCATAAGATCGAGCTCGAAAATCGCAGTAATAAAAGAAAACCTCGTTAAAGAACGATAAGACTCCTTCCAAAAAGCGATTACGTTTAAAATGAAAGTAATACGAAGTATGATCTTCGTAGAATAGTTTGACAATGAGGACCAACGTGTACGGCATGATAAAAGGAAAAACGGAATGGGACACGAATAAATGAATGGTTGAACAGTGGTCAATCCGAAAGAGAGGCTAAGTCTCACCTGCCTGGACCGTGACGAGGGTGCCCGCTAAATATAGCATCCCCAGCAGCACAAAAGCAGCTCGCCTCTCCATCGTCGTGGCGCTGATGTACGCGGTAGCGCGTGACCGTGTGCACTGTGCACGATATACTAACGATTCCGATCGAACAGGGTTTCTAGGGAAGAAAGCTAGAAAATAGGGCCACCTAGGCTGGGCTGCCGTAACTCCGTTTCCGCGATCGTTGCCGTGGTCGTATCGTGGCCGTCGTAGTCGTGGTGGTGGTCGTCGTCGTCGTCGTCACCGTCGCCGTCGTTGTCGTCTCCTGTAACACCCTTCTCGTTGTCGGCAGCTCCTCCTTTTCGCTTGTCCACTCAGCCAACTATGATCGAGCCCCACTACTTTCTGTGCGGATCGTTTACACACGCACTTCGTCACTTCGAGCCACGCCGTACCATTGACGTCTCTTGTATTCCCTTATCGTTATCTAGCACCGTTTCTTTTTTATCTCGGTGCGCACAACAACACCGCAATCCTGTCTGCCACCGTACCTTTCTTACTGCTTTACGATCGTTTGAGAACTAATGACAATTAGCACCACGGAGCCGCAGAAACGGCAGTGTCAGGGAAAAATGGCTGCCACTGTCTTCTGCTTAATTTTCTGCGCGGAGATCGCTCTTACTTTCTCGATTGTCGTTCCCTCTTTTTCGCTCTACGACAAACTGCTCGCATACGTCCTCTACGTCCGTCCCGTAAGCTCCTTTCACGCATGCGTGATTACTCCCTCTTGAATGATATAGATATATGAGCAATTTTTTAAGCACGGTTTTTATTGTGATTCGATGCAAAAGTAAGGTGAAACGTAACGCAGGCTTTTAGAATGTTACACACTTTGAATAATGGAATTATTGTTAGAAGATGTAATTTTATTTATTGATATGATTGAGGAAGAAAAGAACTTGAACCATAAGCGCACAGGGCCGACGCGAACATTTGCGGGGTCGGGTTCTACTTAGAAATGTAGCTCAATGTCAAGTACTGGAAAATTAAGGGTACAATCGGATGATCTCGAAAATTGAAGAATTTTTAGGATTAAAGATTCAAATATTTACTTCTTTATTGATTAGTGAATGAAATATATAAATTTGTAAATACAAAAATCTTAAAAGTTTCGAACGCTCTTACATAGGAAAGCACATGTATTCTCTCGATATCGATGAGCTGTAAGCAGTACTGTATTGCGAAAATAGAATAAAATATACGAGTACATATTATAGAAACAAAAGCAAATATTATTTTATTCTCTCTTCAATAATATCGTACATAAATTATTCAAAACAATATAATCTATTAACTTATACAATTTTGTGGGATATTGTAATTAGTTACAATTATCTATAAATATAGAATAAGCAAACATGTTTTAAACATTATAAATAAAAAATGTTGTAGTAAATTTATAAGGGGCGTTCAGTACAATCGCGGTAGAAGATTTCAGTCTTACCAATCGAAATACCAGCAATTTAGCTTACGTGCGGAGAGATATAACGGGATTCAATACCCGTTCTGTCCATGTGTTGTCGAGATAGAAATATATTTTACGATTTGTAACATTAATTGCGCCACAATACGATCAAAAATACGGTAACGTGTCGACAACACATTGATAATAATCTGATAAACTGATAAACTACTTGATGTCATTACAGCATGTGGCAGATTTAATCATAGTATATTAAGAGTTATACAACATTCGCCACCCGCAAAGGTTCTCTACACTAGAGTAAAATAATATTGACAGTATTAATTTTTTTCGTTACTTAAGGCACTATGTCAGAGAATAAAGATTATACAAAATTAAATGATGTAAGTAGTCATTTCACAGAAGAAACTTTGAAAGGTATACTACGTACTGCACAAGATGGGAAAGAAGTAAATGTGTTGAGTTGGGATTTTGGTGAAGCAAATGCTAAAGGTGACAATTATCTATCAACTGTCTATAGAATTAAAATTAATGGAACTGTTGATGGTAAAGAAGTACAACTTAGAATAGTAGTAAAATCTTTACCAAACAATATAGGTAGAAGAAAGACATATAGAAGTACAGATTTTTTCCGTAATGAGATTATATTTTATACACAAGTAAGTACTATTTTAATATTATTTTCTAAAATTCACCTAGCATTTAACATGGTATTCTTATTTAGGTACTTCCTAAGTTGAATGACTTTGTGAAAGATGTTTCTCTAAGTCAGATATCTTATATGCCACGCCACTTTACTTCTGTTATGGATGGTGAAAATGATTTCATAGCAATGGAAGATGTTACAGTTTTAGGATATAAACCTATAGAGAGACAGAACTCTTTAAATGAAGATCAATGTAAGATGATTTTGAAAACCTTTGCAAAATTACATGCAACTTGTTTTGCATATAAAGATCAAAGAAAAGAAGAATATACAAAAGTTATAGAAAACTTGTATGAAACTTACTTCAGTATGAATTATTGGAATTGGTACAAAAGATTCCATGTAATGTTACAATTATTACTATCAATTACAAGGTATTATAGTATGCTATAGTATAACTGAAATGTTACTTTGCAGGAAACTTTAATAAATATTGCTAAGAATGCTTTAGCTATGGAATATCCTGGTAGTGAAGCAGAAAAAGTATTTAATTCCTATAAACTTGGTGATTTATTTAAAAAAGCTGCTGAATTGTGTAATCATAAGTATGATGCAACATCCGTAGTAAATCAAGGTGATTGCTGGGTTCCAAACTTTATGACTATGCAATCATATAAAAATGAAGCTCTAATGCTTGATTTCCAGTTGGCAAGATCTGGCAGCCCAGTCCTAGATTTGTCAACTTTTATTTATGCCTGCACTGATAAATCTGTTTGGGACACACAATTTGATAAAATATTAAAATTTTATTATGATGAACTCTGTGATGGTATAAAATTCCTTGGATCAAATCCTGAAAACATATATCCATGGAGTACATTTATGAAGGAGGTAAAATTACATTCACTTTTCCAATTATATGTAATGTTAATTTTTTCACGGTATTAATAATATTAACGAAATTAAATAATTGTAGGTAAAAGAGTACTTCGTATTTGGTTTGATATTTGCATTGGAGATAATTCCAATGAGTTTGTTAGATGAATCTGAATCATTTGATTTAGATATTATAAAGGACGATACTGTAGTAGACATTGCTGATGTATGGACACTGTCAAATATCAAGTCAAAAAGTGGAAGAGTCAGATTGGCTAACATTATTGTTCATGCAGTCGAAAAAGGATTTTTATAACGTTTTATAAATATATATTTGATAAAAGACAGAGAAATATATTTTATAGATAATATTTATTAAACATGTAGCATTAAATAAAATAGAGACAATCTGTATTTGTATAATTTCAATTATAACAACACAGTTTACTTAAAATATAGTCTGTATAAGAGTAGATATAGATACTCATCATTTATTCATTTATAAGCAATGGGTATTTAAGTTTCTTCTTCATTACTCACTTATATCAAGAAACTAGAGAAGTGTCGTAAAAACATCTCTTCAAAAGCATCATTTATAAAGATAAGTGCATCTTTGAATCATCATACTTGATATTGGAATTTGATAAATGCAAACAAGCAAGTTTCATGTGAAAAAATAAACAAAAAATGTATTAGTCAAGTCTGTTGACTGACTAAACTTTGATTTTGTAAATTCTGTAGTAAGCTTCTTGTCTAAACAAAAATTTATCTTATAAATTTTGATGCTGAACATTATTTGTCAGAACATTACTGGCATCAAAAACAGTAGTGTCCTCATCATCTTCCTCACTTAATGGTAATGGTCGCATTTCAACATCTTGTCTATGTGTAAGCACACCATACTTTCTGACCATCTGGGCACGCGTTTTACTTAGTCTGTAAAACAATATGGTAAAAAGTAATTTCTAGTTAATATTTCACATAAATTGATTATGATAATTTCTTATTTATGTTTCTTAGAAATGTTCGAAGCATTCAAAATTTAACAAAATAAAGCAAGTTTTTATTTACATAAGCGTTACATACCTAAAGCTACGGAACACGATATAGGCCATGACAAGAACACTTAGCCCCACAAACACGTAAAAACCACGCTTCAGAGCTCCAACATTTAAAGAAATTGAATGTCCTTCACCCACATGCTATTGCAAAATAACATTATTAGTAACTTAATAAAGTTAACGAGATTTATTTCTCGCATACTCTCAATTATATAGAGTAAGACATATCTCGAATATAATATTCTGAAGTTCAAGGAAGAGATGGTAGAAACTGAAAATTAATCTGCATCGTTTTACCAACTAACCTCGTTTTGCAATCCTGTAACCTGTGTTGTCTTATTAATATCTGGTTTCAAAGATGTATCGTCTACCGTTTTATTATCCTCGGGAATCGTTGTCGCATGTTGTTGCTGAATTTTTTGTCCGTCCGATGCATTATGTGCGTTATCTTTTTTTGCGATTCCATTAATCTGTTCAGGTACATTCCTATTTATCCTAAAGTTTCCATTGCATACCGCGCTCTGTATTAGTACCAAGATCAACAGAAATATTAAGTATTTTATTATCTGGATCTTCGAGCGCATCATTGTCCCGTGTCATTTGTAAAATAAATTCTAAGAAGGAAAATAACGCAGCACTATACGTTGACGTTTCATCGCGGGCGACGTGTTGACCCGGCGTAGATGACTACCATCTCAACACATTTTGACTTCACTGATGTTTCGCGGTACATTCACATAACACACTAAACATACAACACACAATCGAAGCGATTTACGCGGAATGGTTAAATATAGATCCTAAAATATCAACAAACCCGCTTATACATATTCGTTTAAATATATTTCGTGTTCCACTTGAAATAAATCGTCCAATACTTAAAACGACTACAATTTTAACGACTAAATGATTTTCAAGTATCATCAAGTTAAAGAAGAGATTCGTACAAAGTAAAAATGCATCTTTCATATCAAATTCATTTAAAATTTTTAAAAGAACATCCGATATTTTAATTATTTTTAATTTATATATAAAAAGGCCGTACTTGTTTGATAATCTATATAAGATTATTATTGTAATAAAAATGATCAAATTCCAAAGCGATCATAAAGTAATAGCAAACTTTTATTCAGTTCGTATGAATATTATGTTTTTGTATAATTAATATAAAAATGTACATAGTTTGTTTTGTATTTAAATACAAACAATTTGTTACGCAGAATATTACTCCGATCATGAAAGATCGTACTTAAATGGCGCAATGTGGCTAACTTCAGTAGACTCTCGCCAGTTAGACCTGCCCCACTATCATACGCTTTTAATTCCGTCGGCCATATACACGGTGGGCAAAATTATATGAATGAGAAGAAGAGGTGATGTAGAGCAAGGATTACATAGCAAAAGATCACTGGATATACATGTCTAGCATAACGAAAACCACAAACGCACATGCGTTTGTTCTTGGTTACGAAGTGTACTCAATCCAATCAGCATTAAGGTGCGCATGATGAACAAATATCTTGTCGAGTGTCGAGTATGATCTCGCACTGCGCGAGTAATATCGCGTATGTTGTCAAAAAATAACGAGCCATACACAGTTAACATGCGTAGAAGATTAACCAATGAGAAAAGAGAATTTGACGCGTATCATGCGTACAAGCATACATACCCGAACGACAGTTAAAGCGGTTGGAAGTTACGGGTAAGAGCGCAATACACGTCAAGCTCTTATTTTCATTCGTGGAGGAGGCTCGCCGCGAACAAACGGGTGACCGAGTCCGAAGGATTTGCAAAGAAAATCCAGGATATAGGTCACCAACAACTGGTTAAATATGATACGCGCTGAAAATGGGGGTGTTGTATATTTGGAACAGTTAAAAAATTCGGTAGAGAGTGACGCGACAGAGAAGGCAACGTCAAGAAAGTGCGAGGGGCAGCTGTCTTCACTGAAGGCAAACAGCTGTTCGTCCTACAAAGGTGCAAATCGTACGACAGAAATGGCGCAAGAAGACAATAATCCGTGCTGGGATAACCTGCCAAGCGTTATCCTGCAGGAAATATTCTCATATTTACCACACAACTGCCGGTTAAGAGCCTCCCAGGTATTCTTGAATTTTTTTCTCCTCAAGGCCGTTTAAATTCTGATCTGACACTGTAGGTAATCAAACTTCTACGTCGAATCTCGTTTTTCTTTCGCATTCTATTTATTACACGGTTTAAACAATTATCATGTTTGATCTTTATCTTGCAATATTACTTATTTATTGTTTGGCATTTCTTGTATACCTGTTTTCATAACTGTCATGCTAGAAATAGATGTTGAAACTAATTTGTCTAAATTATTTTGTCCAGGTTTGTAGAAATTGGAGGTATTCTTTGTTTCATCCCCGTTTTTGGAAAAAAATTACGTTTGCTCTGAAAGACGAAGACAGTATATCATGGTCCCGGTATGTAAAATTATTCTACTGTTTTTTATATTAATAAAAGTGTTGAATCATTGTTTCTATTTGGAATATTTTTTTTGCAGAGTTTTAGGAGAAAGTTTTGGACTTAGTGTGCGTGAAGTTACAATTCGCTGTGATACCCCAAATCATTCTGTGGAGGAAACATTAGCTCTTTTAAAGAAACTGAGTTGTAACAGGCAACTACGTAAATTGTTTTTGGAGTCCAGCAGTAGCTGTTTTGAATATGATGATGATGATGAAGACAGTCAAGGATACACCACTCCACTGATAAAATCTCTTGTGAAAATTATTGAAACATCTAATCATTTAGAAGCTTTAAGTTTAGGATGCATAGAAGAATTAACAGCATCTGCTGGTATACTTTTGGAACCTCTTCGTCTACATCATGCTAAACACTTGACAACTCTTAGTTTAGCATCCGTTAGAGATGATCCTGATGATTTTGACTTTGAGCAATTCGATTATGAATTTGTTTTTAATTCCTTTATCAGATTATCTATTTTAACACTAGATTATGAGTTTGTAAGTGATTATTTACTGCAAGCATTAGACAATGGCATCATGGAAAGACTCGTAATTCATGTACATGGTTGGAATGACAATTATTTAGGAACAACAGACAGTGCTTGGCAAAATTTTATTCAAAAAAAGTAAGTGTCTGTCATTATATCTATAATTATTTTAATAGAACAGGTTGAATGATGATAGCTCACTGGATTTCTTTAATTTTAGCCCAAAATGTGAGCTGCGATTAAACCTTATACACTCTTACAATGGCATTGTAATGTTAGATACTGATATACTCCGACCTTCCATGCCTCTTACACACTTAAAAGTTTTATTTTGTGAAAACATTAATATCAGAGCATTACATCGACTGTCTAGCTGGTACTCGCTTACTTTAAAGTCTTTGACATGGATTGATTCTATGGATCATAGACAAGACCCATCAAATGAATTGGCACCTTTGAATGAACAAAATGAACGAGATAGGTAAACCACATTTCATATTATGTTCCTTTCTACTAGCTTTTCCATTACTAAATATATTTAATACTTTGCTACAGCCCCCCTGATCCGTTAGTATTAGTTGCATGGAAGTGTACCAAACTTGTGGAAATTGTATTCATAGGCCATAAATATTATCAAGAAAACTTACTAGCTATTGCACGTCTACGAGGATCCTCCCTTAAATCGTTAATGTTTGCACAAAGATACATCGTATCTGATAGCGAATCTTGGCATATGGGTGAAACCATTACACAAGTAAGTTTTTATATCTCATCGATAATCACGAACTTTTAAGATTGACCGAATCGTCGATGAGAACCTTAGTTATCTTACATTCCATTTATTAGTGTTTAATTATATAGGAAATAGAAGAAATAATGGGACCTCGGTGGAAACTGTTAAGCGATGCAGATTTACCTGCAGTCGTGAATGATCCTTTTGGAGGCGATAGTAGAGAAGTTATCATGCCATTGGTCCTTTGTGACCAAAAGTAATTTTCAACGCGTGAAATGGAAAAAAATTACTCCCAAACATCGTACACTGACATCACCAACAATTTCTGGGCGAGCTACATTCTCAGAAGTAAAGTTATAAAAGTTAAATCTTTTATTTTTCTATAATGTTTGTTTTTATGGGAACTACGAATGGAACGTTGAACAGCGAATGCGTATAAGTTCGTAGTTCAAAGTCAGTAAAACTAACGGATACAATATTGCCTGTCAGGTAAGAAACACAGCTCCGATCGTAAACAGCGAGCATAAAAACGCACACAAGTTGTCCTTTACAATGATTTTATCAGTTCTTATGAGAGCGTGATAAGCCATAGTTAACTATGTCTTTCTTGAATTGATACAACGGGGTATCTAAATTAAGTATGAATCAATCCCTGTCTTTGTTTATCAGAATGGAGAATGAAGTGATTTGCGTCGGTTTCTTTAACGAGAAACCTTCGATAATGGAATCACGTTTCATTGCTAACAGTGGTGGTCTCAAAATCAGAACAAGAGCAATATACTTGCAATGATCGTTCCTCTCGCCGACGAATATTAGGAAAGAAAAATAAATACGAATGTAACGGGGTTTAATAGATATAAAAAAATGGAGCATTATTGGACGTTCAAGGTCTTAGCAAACAGACCTTTAGTGTGTCCGTGGCATACTTGTGATGTCACGGAGAAAGTGAAATTCAAATACACGAAGGCAGTACGCTACCAATAAGAGGTGATCATCGTACCAAGCAAAGAAAAGGAAGAACGAGACTAATAGAAAACACGAAGAGAAAGGATCGATCTCGCACCATCATCCACTGGCAAGCGTAACGAAATTCCAAACGTATGTAAGTAAAAAAAAAAAATCATGTTAACAAATATTTTTCCAATTCTATGGAAAATTTAGATCAAGCGAGCGCCAAGAGCATGCAGTGTAAGAAAGAGTAACTAAAATGGTAGACTTCGCGAAAGAGTTTGTGCAGCAGATATACAAAGATGCACTGCAATAAGAAGTCGAACAGCGATCCGAGGTTATTTTTAATACCAAAACCAATCGGACGCTCTTGTACAAATGTTAAATGAATGTGTGCCGAGAAGAGTGCGGTTGATCTGGTGGTACATGAAACAAAGTTAAAACATACAGAATATGTAGATCGTAATAGAGGGAAAAATGATATCATTGAATGACCCGTTAAAAAACCTGTATAACTTCCAGAAAGAAGTACCGTCTCTTCACCGTGCTCTTAGCGACCGCTGAAAACGAACACAATTATAGTTATCTATAAAAGAAAAATCAGATGAATTTAGCTGCTAATCGTGTATGTGTATAATGTATGTATATCTGTATTATCTGTCGAACTTTAAATGTTAAATATTCGGATGCCACATGCATCTATTTCTGTCGTGCGATTAATGACGATTTTGAACGTTTGAAAAAAAAAAATAAGGTGATCCGTCACAACACAAAGAAAAAATACCAAAAGAACAACCGTGTATACAGTTTGTTATTCCGAGAGGTTATTTACTTTTTTTCGAGCCCTTGTATAATTATTATTACATCGTCACGTATCGTACTTGTAGTCACGTATATACCATTGTTTTTTATATGTGGTTCTGTACATACATTCATGCGTTTAAAATTATTGGACACGCGCAAAAATCGCGGAGTTGCGCCCGAATTTAAAGAAAGAAAAGAAAGAAAAATGAAGAGCGAAATAATATCTAGCCGTGTTTATTTAAAGAAGGGTGAAAAGAGAGGTTCGAGTAAAGGGCTAGGCACAAGATAACGAGAAAACTATTTCTTTAAACGATTTAAGCTGTTATACAAGATGAACGGGCCTTAACATGTACCTGAGTCGCGGTAAGAATAAATTTACCGAAAAAAATCTGATACGCGACAGCCACCATAAGAAAATAATCGTAGACACCTTAACGGACATTTTTAGGCGACTCGCTGGAACACCTGGCTGTGTCACTCGCCAAAAAATGCCCGACGATTAAGGTATGCTCTCGTGCCCTTTCATTTCGTATTCCGTGCGCGTGTATTTCTCTTTTTTTACGTCAACAAATTCGCGATGAAAACGGAACCGACGATTCGTTATTTAGAAGCTCGCAAACTTGTTTGTCAACTATTAAATGTTGCGCGAACGGGTTAGATTTTATTTCTTCTTCTTCTTTTTAATTTTGCTCGTGTTTTTTTTGTAATCGAACGAAGTCCCGCATAAACAGTATACTCGCGGGCACGGTGCCCGGCGTATGAGTCTAAAGAGAGAGCGAGAGAGAGAGCGCGAGCGAGCGAGCGAGAGAGAGAGAGTGAAAGAACATAATGTGACGTTGCGAAATGATAACGTATGAGAGAGAACGGAATTAACGAAAGATGATGATACGCGTTCGGATATAAGAACGATGATATCCAAATGAGTAATAGAAGCAGAAACAAAACTTAAAAAAAGTAAGAAAAAAAGTATCAAACGATACGTAGTACCATCTCTGCGAATTCACCGTGTACAAAGTCTTTAGAAAGAAGAATGGCATTCGTGCAGCTGCTTAACCAAACGGGCACAACCCAATTACACATTAATATCGATATAAACGCGTTGCGACAAACCAAGCATAAGACTGAACCTGCCGGGAAAGGTATTACACCAGTTAGGTGAGCTGCACGTGTTGCCAACGTCCGACCTCATATTCATAAAGCAACAGAGGACGATCCCGACTAAACGGAAAGCATCGTTCGCGAATCATCGAAACGAAATTAATCACATCGATGTTGCGTGTACGATCGCGTGCAGATTAGGCTTCTTTCGATTAGCGGAAAGTGCAGGAAAAAGGGTATCGCATTCGAGATATCTATAACGCAGTCTCGCTATATGGCCTCGAACGGGACTAGAACACAGCGTCTTGCTATCAATGGTGTAGCTCGCGAATTCCAAATTTCTCAGTTAGAAAATTGATAGATTGCCAAATTTGAAAACTTATAAATTACTAGGTCCCCTTCTGCGCTTACTTTTAGTCAGAGATAGCCTACTTTGCACACTCGTGTACTCGTAAAATAATGTATAATGGTTGTCTCCAAGATCGTTGCTCGTATAACGGTTTCCTTTAACTGCACGTACGATTTAGCTTTCCGTCTTAGCTCGCGGCTCTCGTCGATTCGCCCCTGATGATTTGAGCCACGCGAACACACCGAATTTATGAATATGCGGCGTCGTTAAAAAAAAAACGAAGGGATGGTGCGTCAGCTAGTGTTTAGATCGGACAAACGCCCCGTGAAAAAAAGCTCACTCGACCGGGTGGTTCTCGTAGCCGATAAAATATGTACTAACCTTTAAGCAGCCTGCCAAGAATCAAAATACTGTATAATATCAAACGAACGCTAGCCAGTACAGAATGCTAAGATCTATTTTTTAAGAAGCGAATGTATATTTTTGTACTAAGGCAGGCCTTAGTTGTGACTCGTGTGTATTCTTGCGCGTTAAAACAAATGGCACAAGACGTGAGATCTGTGATCGTGTAATATCGTGTCGGCTTAGCGAGAAAACAAAATAACATACGTATAGGCAAAGTCGTTGAGCAAGAGAGAGATAATAAGTAGCACCAAGTGGCGGGAGAAATAGCAAGGAAATAAAGCGACGTGTGTCCCTGCTTTTGTTATATCGAGTGGGCTATAGGTAAATAATAAGGGGCGACGATAAATCGAGAAGAAAACATCTGTGATAAAAAAAAATATAAAACCTTAGAAAGGGTGCTCGGGAAAAAGGTGGCGATAGAGAGACAGAGATCAAGCGTGCGTTTTAAAGGGGGGGAAAGAAGAATCTAACAAAACGAAGAGCGAAAGAGAGAAATATAGGGGGAAGACGGAATCCTGCGTGTATTAGGAAAACGATACGCGAGACATTGCAATTCCTAACGAAAAAAGAAGATGTTTAGAAATGCTTTTAGAAGATCTATTGCGCGAAAAATGTTCGTCGTGTGTATATGACTAATCGACAGATGGTGACTGTCTTTCGACGAGATAGCCCGGTCTAACTAATGCAGTGGGTACCAATCGTCTTGACCATCCTTGTTCAAGTAATCGTGTGGGTTTCGATAAACGCTTTTCTAACAACGGATCCGAACGAAGAAAATCTTTCTTTATTCCAACGCTTTGTTAAAGTACGTGTTCTTTCGGACGATTAGATTCTTAACCCTTTCGCTGCTACGACCCTTTCGTTGCCACGAGCAATTACAGTAAAAGGGCTACCGTTGATAAGTTATTGATACGCCAAAAACATTTCTGGTTGCAAATGAATTTTATTAAAAATATGATTTTATATACGATCGGAGTTAAAACGGTTTTCGAGCAGAGGCGGCCGTAGCGAAAAGGTTAAACTCGAACGCTATTTAAATAAATCTGACATTCCACTCGAAACTGCGAGAACTGAAGGTTACGCGCGTAATCTTACCGTCGTTACGTAGCGCCATGATAGAATTAATTTAATATACCTTGAAAAACTTCGAACAAGGAGTTGTCTCTGTCGTGTTAGGACAAAAGAACGAATACAGTATACGCGAAAGAGGTGATTCAAAGGAATTCGATCGATCCTTGTTCGAAGTTGCGTAAATCGTGCGTTACAATAGGCCACGTGACTCGCCTTTATCGTGCCCACGTGATCTCAGGATAAGTCAGGACGTCGTACGCCACCAGTATAGTATTATAAGTTCCTAAAGAAAAAAAAAGAAACAAGATATTTTACATGGGTTTTAAGTGATCGATAGAACGAACCCGGCAATTACGAATAAAACGCATATTTCACACGAACAGAGCATTCGGTTCGATGTTACGTACAAAACAAGTTCGTTCGTTGATTCGTTCTGTTTATGGGATTGTTAAAAAAAACGCTTTTCAGACACTGCACCAGCAACGTTTCTTTTTTTTTATATATGCATATACATATATCTATCTATATCTTATATCTATACAAATATTAATTTACAAGTACGCGTGTATAATTCATTCCAATCGAAAGGGGCAGGCGTGTTAGACGTGTGGCGGTAAATAAACGCGAATTGAAAACGATGGTTCCGCGTTGAGGGAATATTAAGGAGATTTAACCTTTTTTTTACGAGAATGCCAAGAAATATAGCGTCGCGAAAAGATAATCGTGAACGGAAAGCTGTAGGCTCGATCCAACGTGAAACGCGGGTAATTTTTGTGTTAAAGGCTAGTTTACGTTAGTCGGTCAGACATTGAACGCTTCTGTCAGAATACATTCAGTTTCGAATAGGCATTCAACGATGTACAATCAAAACTAGACAGACAAAGATTCCAGTTACGCCAATGGTTTTTAACGAACCACTCCCCCCTTTACGTACAACAATCTGTGTCTGAACGGAATTGTTACGTGTCTGAATGGACAATATAAACTGACCTTAACACGTTTTCGATTACTATACTACCGCCGTGTGAGTGTGTATCGACTACGTTTCGAGGTTCGTCTGATACAAAAAAATCGATATTCCGAGAATCGCGCACTCCTCGATCGATACCGTAAAACAATATTAATAAAGATATTACCAAAACCGCGTTTAGATATGTATATAAGTTTATTAAGGGCTGAGATAGCAAACGCGAGCAAGCTATTTTTTATCGTGGTCGAATCGCGAGATAAGACGGGACTAAATCCGTCGTGTAATTTCTTCCATTACGAACAGAGGGGGAAAATAAGATTTTCGATGTTAAGAGAGAATTTAAGAGAAAAACAACGTGACCGGGCCCAAAAGAAAAACGATGAACGTCTTCTAGTAGCGTTGTATTCTCGTTTATTAGCATGGGTTTAACGGAACGTAAAAGTCCTAGCTCTAGAGACGAGCGCACGTGTGTATGCATGCAATGCAGACAGAGATCTCAAGATTTTCAAATCACGATCCTGTGTGTATTCGTTCAAATCAAGATTATCGAACTGAATCATGTTGATAAAAAAGAAAACGGCCGCTCAAACGACGCGAAAACAACAGTCGCCGATTTGTTTTCGATTCGAACTGAGTTTCTTCGTTTTTTCCCGTGAGACGCCGAGAATCGTTCTAAACTATAAACGCGTTACGCCAGCGGTACAACACTTACGCGAGTGAATCACGACTGTCGTTCCACCGCGCTAAAAATACTGAGAATGCACGGGAGATTCCTTGCCGATGGGGTAAAACGTTATCTCGAGCTTTACTACCTCGCGTAACTCCGATGAAGATCTTTTATTTTCTTTCTTCGGTCGAGTATCGAATCATCGTTTCGTATCTTTACAATAATAAGAATAGCTCGATGCTCGACGTTCCGATTCAAAGAACGGGGGAATAAAAAGAGAGACCGTTTCGCGTTGACCAGAACTGCGTACTTTTCAACGCAAAACAGTGCTCAATCGGGTTTCGTTCACGCGAAGCAGGCTTACACCGGTGTCTCAGTGTTCCACGTTTAAAAAAACGTCTTAGTTTTATCGTACTACGAACTATAGCGTTTAGTTTATATCTTTGCTAATTGTCGTGTCGACCTGCATTTTAACGACTCGTTTTAAGGGTGACGCGTCGTTTCATCAACGGCATGATGCGTGAACGCACGTGTCCGCTCGATTTGTCGCGGTTAACGCTTTGATCGGTGCAGTGATCTAACTCGGTGATGGACAAACGTGCACGCGAGGGCGCGGTGCACGGACGCGCAAGTGCTTTGATGAGTCAATTTCACAAATTTCAAACTTTCCATATTCTCAAATTTATCGAATTCCAAAATTTTTACATTCGAGACCCGTGAATCTTCGACTCATCACTGCACGCACCCGCATGATCTGCCCACCGCTGATCCAACACAGTGCAATAGGGTGCGCAGAAGCACTGCGCACCAGTTAACCTGTTGACCGGCCGATTATTCGATCGAGAGAAAAGTCATTTTCTTTCCGTAACAAAGATTAACTCGTCTTGTCCGTAACAGATACAAATAGCCGACGATGCAATCGAAAGTAAAGATCTCTCGACAAAACACTGAAAGTATACATCAGTCAAATAGTAAGTCAACTCGTACCGGTTAATAGGTTGATAATACCTTTTGGTTACTAACGCAAGGATTAAAGTGTTAAATCTTAACTTGCTCTAGCGTGTTTATGTAAAGCAAACATGGAAAAGCAACGTTATCGTCAACTAATGAACAAAACGTGGCCTCTGTTATGCACACACTGTTTTAATCGTAAACAGGACGTGTTTTCGACCTGTTTGGTGCAACTCGAGGTTTCTACCGAAAGGATAAGAGCGTAACTTTGTGAACGTTGCCTAAACATTAGGTTGCTGCGTGAGTTTGTAGGAATGTTACGAAAATTTTTAGTATATTTTAGGCGGAACATCAAATGAGTTACAAGTTGTATTGGATTCATATTATATATATCAAGCGAAAATTTGATGGTGCCATACACGAATATTGTCGCCATGCGATAATGTAGGACACTTTTGACCCATAACAGAATTTTTATTAAATACGTTTTAAATTTATCTTCCCGATAATACGTTACGTGTTTTATACGCTTTTAGTATGTACGTGTTTTCAATATAATATTTTAACGAAATGTAATATAGAGATGAAAGCAGTGCGTTAGGAAATTGTATATATTTTATAAATATGTTTATGAAACATATATTTTTTATTTATACATATATCACATCGATTTTATTTGTCTTTTAGACGTTTTACCGTTTTGTATCATATTGTTAATCGCGTGGTATCCAGATCTTTTTGTAGAAATGGGTCGAAAGTGACCCGGTTTTCATGAAGTTTAGATTTCTAATTGTACGGAACTTGAGCAGCAACCTAATATCTTCGAAAATGTGTATAGAAAACGAAAGTAGTCGAACGGGGAGTTCGTTAAATAGAAAATAATTACTCGCGTTGATTTTTCGAAAAAGCACGTCAACTGGTTTGATTCGCGCGAACATTTCAACGAGAAACGAAAGAACGCTTAAAAGGGGGTTACAAAGAACGAGATCTCGTCTTAAAAAAAGAACCAATCGATATCCTACGTATCTATTCATACTATTTACTCGTTACTTTCCAAGTTATTTTACTTGACGATGACAAACTAACGAACGAGAATGTGTGTGCGTGCGTGCGTGAACGACGCTTAACGCGCTCGCTGCCGCTCACTCGACATCGCGTGCTGCCTCGATAGCGTTAAAACCTCGCGGCACGCGACTCGAGTTCGACAACGAACGTGTTGAAGGGACGTTTTTATCGGTTCCTCTAAAGTCGTTCCTCGGATTAATTTACCATCGGCGGCAGGGTCAATACTGGCCCAGACGGTGCTTCGATTTAAATTAAACAATTGAAATTTTTAAGCGAAAATATTCATATATTGGAAAAATAATATTTAAAGGTGTAATGAAATATTTAGAATACGAAAGAGAATGAAATATTAAAGATGAATTTAATCAAGTGTCTGAGTTTGACCGCGGTATCGATGACCCGCTGTCTGAAGTTTAATTCGGTTAATCGATTATAGAAACGACTTAAATACTTGAAAGTATCTGAACAGTTAAATCTAAAGGAAAGAAGCGAAAAAATGCGTCGTGTAACGAGCTAATTATTTCGTAAGACGTATCGAACCGGAGTTCCATCGTGTTCTTCGATGCGTGAACAGGTGTTTCTTGGCGTCCTACACTTTACAATTTTCTTCGCTACGAAATAAATATCAGTATTAAAATTATTCTTTCTTGTTGACAGATTTCCGATTTTAACGCGTTGATTGTCACGTGGGATCACGCTGCCACAGATTACGTTTCGTTAAATAATCTTACTGCAAACATTTGCTCCTTTTGATACGGATTCATTAAGTACACCCAAGTGTAAGTTTCCTTCTGATAATGTAACAAATTTCTAACTCTTTTCTCCTCAAATTCTAACTCAAATTCCGATCTCATTCTTCGACATTTTTTCTAAGAAAAGCCTTCGGTAAATACTTAAAAATACATTGAAACGCTAGTTTAGAGAAATGTCTATCCTTGATATCACGTGTACCGTGGCAGTCAATGCGTTAACGCTTAACACGTTGACCTAGAAAACAAAAACAAAATTATAAAAAAATGTTCTAAGTATCAATCATGCCACAACGTTCGTATCCTCGATGAGTTTTATTGCAGCATATGCGTCGTAGACACGTATTCTTCAATGTATCAATCAACGTGTTAAATTGTTCAACTTTCAATGTTACGTAAGTTTCACAAGGAATCGTTCTATGAAAGTTCGTAAAATTTCCAGCGTATTTCGGTGCCTTCATTTTCACCGATTCTACAACTGTATTTCATTAACCCTTTCATAAATTAATTGTTAGCACATTAACAAAATAAGTTGTGTATAATGGTTTCTATAAAAAATTATATTTAACGAATATTTGATTATTTAAGATTCATACATGACATCAAAATTTTATAAATCGATCTCGATGAAGTAATTCTGAAAGGATAATAGATAAGAAAAAAATAAGATGTATCTTTGAAGAGATACAAAAAGAATAAAGTAATTCTGAAAGGATAATAGATAAGAAAAAAATAAGATGTATCTTTGAAGAGATACAAAAAAAATAAAGTAATTCTGAAAGGATAACAAATAAGAAAAAAATAAGATGTATCTTTGAAGAGATACAAAAAAATAAAGTAATTCTGAAAGGATAACAATTAGAAAAAAATAAGATGTATCCTTGAAGAGATACAAAAAAATAAAGTAATTCTGAAAGAATAATAGATAAGAAAGAAATAAAATGTATCCTTTAAGAAATACAAAAAAAATAAAATAATTCTGAAAGGATAACAAATAAGAAAAAAATAAAATGTATCTTTGAAGAGGTTAATTTTGAAGGCACCGAAAGAACGATGAGCATCATGGACAGCGAGAGAGAAAAACCGTGTTAAATAGAAAATCTGATCCGTCAAAAGGTAGAAATCGACGGATACAGTTCGTTGAACTCGTTCGATAGAGTCATTGATTACCGGAAGTGCGTATACATTGTGCAATCGCGTGAAGAGAGGAAATCGCAAGTCGAACATGTTGCATCGTCCTATTCCTCATACTCTGTATCGTGCAAAAGTTGAAGAAAAAAAAGATGTTTACTGCCCTCGACCTTTCGCGGTCCAATTTCTCCATTTGCACGCGGATCCGTTCGTCAGAGCCGAGCTTCGAACCGTTTCGACATCGAGCCTCGGTTGTTACACCTTGCAAAGAGTATACATATTAGGAACAGGGAAAGTCTCTCCTGTTCAATGTACGAGCACGCTTATACGAAGCAATTAATAGCGAGATATTATTCCGGCTATGTAACGTGCTGAGGAACGTTCGCGAAACCGACTTGTCGGTATTCAACGTGGTACCTGATTTTCTAACATTCTCTATTTCGCGCGCGATCGAAATTAGCCCTTTCAATGATACACTGTTAAGTGGATTATGGGTACGGATCTGTGTTCTTCCATTTACAGTTTCAACAATTTTTTGCCGAAATAGTGAACGATATCGATTCGTTCTTGTTTCTGTAAGATGTTACATTATTTAGATCCGTGTTCAGACGTGAAGTTTAAATCTCTGATGTCTCAAAATTACAAAGCTATTTTGCACAACCTGGCTAAATGAAAATGTGAGCGTAATACCTAAAATCCATTTATAAACATGTGAAGAACACTCAAAGGGTTAATGCAAAGTAGTCAGGATTGGACAACGAAATGGTCGAATACATCCTCGACATAATACAGAATGTCTGGTAAAGTGTTTGATAAATTTCGCCCACATCATCCTTGAGTAAAATGTTATAATCGTTAACAGGCAAGAATCTATCGAATACTTCTCGACATCCTGTATGCATGTACATATACATATATATAGGTACTAACAATGTTTCGTCTGTAAATGTGAAGTACGTTCAACGCGTTATCTGTTGATCATCCATTTCAGTGAAATTACGCTCCAGGTGCACAGGTACACGCGGGCAACCGGAACGACCAGGAAACTAGAAGCTGTACTTACACCTTCGTACATAAACACGATCATGTATCTCTTTTCTTTGTAACGAGGATAATTTTTTGTTCGTTCATAGGTGATACGCAACGGACGATTTTTGTTCGGTTCGATTGCCCATGTGCGACACCTACAAGCGATATATCGCGGATAATACGATACGTTCCTTAAAACAGTACGATTTTCCAATCTGCTTGCAGCCTGTTGCAGCGAACTATGTGTATTTATAAAATTCTCTCGTGTACTGCGCCTGTTGTCTTATTACTGGCCAGGGATTTTTCCTATCGTTCGTGACACGAAACTTTTTCGCGTTCGTTTGCCCGACTAGGAACTTTTAGAGACGACTTAGCTCGTCGGGGTACGCGGACGGGATTCCACAATCGGAATTATGGTCAACACAGGTAAAAGATCGTCCGTCACGAACGATAGAAATCTATTATCGTAAACGCAGCTAATATTAATGGTCCACGATTGTACGTTTCGTTATTTCACTTTTTCTTGTTTCCCGTACGTGGACAATAGAGTCTCGAGCATTTGTAACATGGCGCGATAAACCTATTGAAACTGTCACGTAAAAATCAGTATTCTTTCAATCCAACATCCCGTAGAATTGTACGCCGGTCTATGATTTTTACTCCACTTCTTCGATGATAGAAATCAAATGTTTTTCTCAAGTATCAATCAATTTTTAAAAGATGTATCGATCGATTAAATAAATCGTGCATGGCATAACTATCTTGTTTCTCTTCTAATACCCACAATTTATGAAAAAAAAATTTAGTTACGCCTGTGGACATCCATTTAATCTATAAGCGAAGGAATATATAGGTAAGTTAATCTTTGTGTTTCAACAATCTTTCCATTCGAACAAGTACGCGATTTAAAAATGGGGGTATAGTGAAAGCAAAATCGTTGAACTTTTGTAGATCACTTTTATTCTGTTCGTGCATTCCCTGTTCAGTTCCATCTCATTTATAACTTTGTTTAATGCAAAACGATTTATTTCTGTCCGAAATCTTTGAAAGCATTAAAAGTAGCATAAACAGATACATTTTAGGGGAAATTCTATTTTAGCCATCAGGGACACTCTCGATATTGGTATCGCGCTCAATGTGTTACACTATCCACCAAACGCTCTCGTATCATTCATGCATTCTAAAATAAAGATTCTAAATTTAGCTCCGAAACGTTATCTCTAATCTTATATTCTATTTATCGTTAATCCGATTATTTCTTATCTCCGCCAGTGTGAAACATTTCCATCAGTCTGAATGTTAATCTCGACTCGAATGACGTGTCTATAATGAGGTGTACATTGTATCTAAAACATACATCTGTATTCAAAAAGCGGTATCGGTATCGAGATCAAGAGAGCCAAGTATCATTGGCGTAGCTAGTTAGGGATCAGAGTACGCTTGACCCCAATAGAATGCGTGCTAATTCGTAGATATTGTCAAATTACCAAATACATTGCAGTGTGTCAAAATTTCTAAAGATTATATGGTGCTTAGTATGGGACGTTAAGAATACTAAATTAGAGGAAACTAGGCCCCCCATAAAAAATTGTAATTATAGGAATAAGAAGTACCAAAGGAGGACCCGGCACGAAAGCACTCGCGTGAACTTGAAAACGATTCGATTTGAAATACCCTCCAATACTCGGTGGCCGTATCCCGATTGGCGGTTACCGGTGCAGGTTCGAAATGGAAGGGAATGCGCAGAAGCACGTGGATTTGTTTAGACGACTGTCAAGCCCCTTTCGTGCCGCATTTACAAAGTCCGTGGGGTGCTTCCGGTAAGCCCCGTAGCTGGCGGCGCTTTCCCGACAAACGATACCGGGGGCCAACGGGGGCGACAAGATCCACTGTCTGCTCCCCTCCTCTGCTCACCCCTGGCCACCCTGTGTCCCCCTTCCACGGCGTTACACCTCCGATGCGGAGACAGAGACAGTGGCCGGGACAGGGACAGGGGCAGGGGAGCGACGACGGCGACGATGCCCGGCGAAACGAGCGATGGAGGAGGGGAAGACATCAACGGCGGACAAGGCCGCCATATTGAATCACTCTCGTTAATTTTTGCGCAGAGGCGGTGTGAATTTTTTCTCCTCGCGCGGAAGGTAGCCGCTCAAGGTTGTGTGTCTGGGACTCGACGATCGTCTCGCGGTTTACCCACGTCTCGCCCCGGAACAACGAACCCGAATACCGTTTCTCGCGAACGAATCGGATCTCGACGTATGGGCAAACGATGGTCAGGCGAAAAAGGCTCGTGCAAACATGCGGAAATCGCGCGTGCATGATCGCGAGACGGTGAAGTCGAGGGAGGCAAAGTGTACGCGTGCACCGATCCGGTGTGCGCCATGTCATTGCACGTAAGCGATAGTGCAGAGAGTGCAATATATCGTGGTGGAGTGGAGTGAAGTGGAGTGGAAAGCGACCGGCCGCCTAAACACCGTGCCTCCTGCCTATCTGCATGCCTCCGTTGGCCCGTTTCCCGTAATCGACTCGCATGTCAAAACGGTGGTTCATCCACGAAATTCGGACCACGACCTCCTCTCAGGTACGTGTGCCCTGCTGAACGCGCCAGCCGCACCGGCTGAACCGTGTGTGGGGGTCAAAACACTCCGGGGAAGGTGCGATTATCAATGTACCAGCAAATATGTTGTGCACGCGGAAACATAAAGAGAGCCAGTCGCGTGTCGTCGTCGAGCGAGCTGGCGTCACACCAGCGTTACGTGTGTTTGTTCGTTCGTTCGACGACCAGCCGCACGATATTTTCATTCGCATGCCTAATTAATCGTTGCCGAATTATTTCGATACTCTCGCTCGAATCACCGATTCCTATTAATCGAGTCGCGATGTAACAATTAATATTTCGAAAAAACATCGAAACAATATATTATCGGTACAATCAGTATCAATGCATTATGATATGTCATTTCATTTTCCTTTACACGAGGAGTTACGGAATATTAAGTATTGTTTCTGTTTTGGATCAATTCGAACCACTTTCGAATTGACTTGGCGATAAGATTAGGTCATCGACTCGCTGCAACGGTGGCATTCGTTTATTAGGTTAGGAAGAAAGTGTAAGATTGCCGTAGGTCGCTTTACGTATTGCCTACTGGTTCCAGCGTTCTGCACCATTTACATCGCGCGTTACTTCCTGTTGATTTAATACAACATAGGAAAACTCTTTTTAACGAGATAAAAATATTTCCTTAGGAATGTATGAATAAAAGAAACCGTCTTCATAAAAGCGATACGTGTCATTCCGCGGAATACTTGTTAGCCTGTTGAAGAGCAAAGTGACGAAACGGAAATTAAAAATGCTGTGACATCAATTGGAGAGTTTAGATCCTACTCTGTCACGTGATCTGGAAAGCGTGTAAGGCGGGAGATCCGAGAGAAACTCCGTGAACTAGTTAATTCTTTCATATTAGGATGTTTTAAAAGCGCGTTTATAGGGAGATAGTGGTATTTGGAAAAAAGTGTGCTGGTCGAAATAAATTGGGCTCCTCGTACCATAGTAGCGAGAAAAGTAGGATGTACTCGGAAAATGGCGAGATAAGGGAAAACCCGCCAGGCGTTGGTTTTTGGTCGCCAGTTTTTTAAATTTGGGAATTTCAAATTTTAGAAATTTTTACATTCGGATATTTGAAAATTGAGAGATTTAAGGATTTGAGAATTTAAAAGTTTAACATTAGGGAATTTCAAAAGAATTAAAAGTTTGATATTTTGGACATTTGGTAATTTGAAGACTTAAAAATTTGGACTTTCGGAAATTTGTGGATTTGCATATTTAAAGTCCAAAAATCCAAAGGAAATAATATAAGGGTACTCTCCAAGCCCTTGCCCTAATCCAAAGAAATTCTACATTACACCGGAGTGTAGTCGTCTCCGAACGGGAGGGACGAACGAAAACTCTCAGTAAATAGAGTCGTATTACCTAGAGGTCGCGCTCGGTTTCTCGATACAATAGTAATTACGAGATGCGTGGACGATATCAAATACATTGCAAAAACATTGCAACTCCTTGGTCCCTCTGGTCGGGAAGGCCAGCAGTGGGGACTCCGTCGAAAAATCGATTTTCCGTAGGGCATAAGGGCGCGAGGGGAGGAGGGTGAGGGCAAGGGAGAAGTACGGAGACGAAATTCGGGAAAATCCGCAGAGAGAGAACTGGCGCGAAAGAGAAAGAGAAAGAGAGGGAGATGGTTCAGAGGGAAAGAGAAAGAGATCGGTTTCTAGCCCGTTCCGATGTCGCTCGTGTGGGTGAGTGGCTGACTCGTGTGGTAGGGGGTTAGACCGTCGACGGGAGGGGTGAGGGGAGAAATAATTAATGTGCGACCGTACCTCTCCCCTCGCGGTACAGGCCACCCTTCCCCCCTTCCACAGTCTTGTACCGCTACGCTTAGCTGCCATTGTGCCGAGACGCCACTTCCGAAGCATCAAATTCAATTCTTCGATTTCGTACCGCCACTTCCTCGCGAATAATTCGTAACAGAGGGAACCGAGGGGCACACACGGCGTAACGTGCCGCCGCCGCCGTCGGCCCAATAAAGCCCGCCAATAATCCTCCTCGTGCACGATCTTGAACAACGTATTATTTTCTTCTTTGCACATCTTTGAATTCCGCGGAGGTTAGGTTAGGACATTGCTTCCGTGGATATCGGCCGATCGGCCGCCTCGCGATCTTTCATCGCGCGTTTTAGTCCGCGAGCTGATCGCGTTACCGGTGCTGCCTACTGTGTTGTGATTCCGTCCTTACTTCCCCGTTGCTGCTGTTATTGTTGTTGTTGCTGCTCGATATACGAGGGAAACACGATGCCCCGGTGCATATGAACGGGAATGCTCGAACGGAGATTTTGGTAACCCAGTTATTTTTATTCCGGTGAATCTTTTCTATCGCTTTCAAATCACGGCATTGCGAAATGCTGTCTCGCGCTGTTCGCTTCTTTTTTCTCCTCTGGGCGAACTCGTTCCTCGTTATTGTTGAAATCGATCCAATTAACATGGACCAGATTAATCGCGGTTATTAATAAGTCTTGGGTTTTTCTAGAGTTTCTGTATCTGAAAGAATGGAAGCCATGGATCTGGACGGGGATGCTGTGGTGGATTTAAGTGTCAGGTAAATTGAAGGAAATTCTTTTTTTGTACTTGGCTTTTTAAATTGTTCATCATAGTATTCTGTAAAGGTAAATAGTTAAAAACTATGTCAATTTGAAATTACTGTTGTTTACGTCATTCTGATTACGAAATGAGGCTATTTTACAACGCAGTTATCAACAATACAAATATGCAGTGCATTATAATATTCATGATAATATAATTTTTAACAGAAACAAGTTTTCTTATCGGTAATGGCAAATAGCAGTTTTTACATGCAAATTGATTTGAACTTCTTTGTACTTTTTACTTCTTTTCGCATACTTACAAGTTTATTTTACATATTTATGTGTATAATTTCTTTTATAACATAAAAGTTCATCACAATACTTTTTTACCATCGTGTGTTATGATTTCAGCAGCAGTGGCAGGAGAAATTCTCCATCGATCGCCGTTAACTCTGGTGATGTAGGAGTTCCATTGGATTTAGGCATACATTTGTCGGCAAGCTCTAACGTGGATAATACCATGCCTGAAGCACGTAATATTCAAAATGCAGCAAGGGGCATTTTGGCTCCAAAATCTGGAGACGATAGGAAAACACGGCGTAATCTTAGACCTAGGATTGAAATAAGTTATGCAGAGACTCCTGATGAACGTAGAATAAATGGTTACGTGAATGGAAATGCAGACAGCGATGAAGGTTAATGATAAAAATAACATAATTATTTATAGCTTCAATACTAAGTTTCAAAAGTATCATACATATACATGTATTTCATTTTTATAAGTGCTTAACAGATATTAAATCCAAAATTACTGCAATTTTAATTATCAACTAATGCTTTATTTATCTTAATATCATACTTTTATAACAGTAATAAAATTCCTTATTTGTTTAAATAGGATAGCAATATAGTGGAATAGTAGTATAGTGCTACAATGAAATAATGATAATAGTAAAGTCTCATTTCACATGCAAGGTGACTAACAAAAGTCAAAATTTTTGTTCATTAGGTGACATGCCTCCGCTGCCTCCGATAAAAGAGTTAACGTCGGATGAATTAGCTGAACGTGAAAGAACGCTTAGAAAATTAAGGGAGGAACTTAGATCTGAGGAAATGAAATTGGTATTGCTAAAGAAGTTAAGGCAATCTCAGCAGTTGAAGGAAAATATTGCTGCAGTGCCCAAAGTACCCAGCAAATTACCTCCACCAGTTACAGTACAACAAGCTCCTCATAGGTAGTATTATTATGGTTTAGTTGTATTGTAGATATAGGAACTATTATTAATAGTTATTGAAATAGCGTACGTGATTTTAGTCTTAGGACAGCAAAAGCTCCTCCACCTCTTCTCAGAGGACAACCTGCACCAAGCAGAAGCAGTAGTTTACATGCTCCTCCACCTGGAATGTTATTACCACCTACAGTTGGTCGAAGTCCTACTTCAAGTACTGGAATGCCACCTAACATGGTGATACCACAGCCACCTCATCCTAGGGGCAGACCACCAAGTGCAACACCAAATGTATCAAATTATCACGCACCAGCAGACAGAACTGAAAGGTCTACTAAAGACCCGACCCCCTCCCCGGCACATCAAGTAAGTAAGGTATAACGCATCGTATATATTTTATATTTTGACAAATGAATATTTTCAAAGAGTTATACCTGATATATATGTATGTGTTACATTTAAAAAATACTTGTTTACATCATTTGTGAACTATGTAAATAACCATAATTGTGTTTTTGTAAACACAAAGCTGCTTGTCGGATCTCAAGAAAATAAAACCACCGCATCCTTAAGCACACCTGTGATTTCAGAACAGGTACATCCATCAGTAAAAGTATACGTTTAGCCTCTTGCCAATCTAATTCTTTATTAAATATCGTGTCATCTTTCTGTTGCCTTCCAAATAATATTATTTCTTGCGCTATATTTAACCCTTCTTATTTTCCATCTTTTCCTTCCTCTGTATTGCATTTATTATAACACTGCTATTTTACTTTATAGAGAATTTAAAAATATATTTATAATGCCCCTTATTTTATGCAAGCATCTAATATTTGATTTTGAAATTGTAGGAAAGACCAAGGGATGATAATCAAACACCTGCGCAACGTCAAGCAGCTGCTAAATTGGCTTTGAGAAAGCAACTCGAAAAAACGTTATTACAAATACCACCTCCGAAACCACCGCCGCCTGAGATGCACTTTGTACCAAATCCTTCCAACACGGAGTTCATATATTTGGTCGGTTTAGAACATGTAGTTGATTTTATCACTAAGGAGCCTGCTATTCCACCACCTCCAGAACCGTTCGAGTGTACTCAATGCAAAACGGACTTTACGCCTGTGTGGAAATGGGAGAAGCCGGTGACCGGTGGCAAGAAAGAAAGTCCAAGAGGACAACACGCAACTTTCCAGAGACCTCCGGCAGGTCGCGATCCTAGAGTCATATGTGAACACTGTGTGACGACAAACGTTAAGAAGGCTCTTAAAGCAGAACATACTAATCGGTACGCATTAGAGTATGGAAAGAACACGAGAACATTCGTATAAATTGATAACATATATCAATATGCACACGCATTTGCAGGTTAAAGACAGCGTTCGTGAAAGCATTGCAACAGGAACAAGAAATCGAACAAAGGTTGGCACAAGCAGCTTGTCCAAGTCCAGATCCACCAGCGCCAAAACCAGTTCCTAAAGCAGCTACTCCCACAAGAAGAGTAGCAACACCACCAGCCCCTCCGCCGCAAGTACCACCGGCTCCAACGCTAGCCCCGACTCCACCAGCCCCTAAATTGCAAGAGCATCCTTTGGTTAAGTTAGCAGAAAGTGGAAAGTTCAGTCCACACCATGCTGCTGCTGCAGCTGCATTGCAGCAACAGTTACTCAGAGGTAAGCCTATAAAGTTTCTACCGCAACGCGTATTATTACATATTGTACTTTAGTAAATGTACTCGATTCTTATTTCAGAACTGGCAAAAAATCCTGTACCAGGTCTACCACCTCATCAACCTCTTCCCGCTCACATGATGCCACCATTTACCTCAATACTGTACCCTTATCAGCTGGCAATGGCACAGGCTGGCGGAAAGGGACTCGCAGAATTACAACGACAAGCAGCAGATTTGCAACGCCAATATTTGCTTGACATGATTCCGTCGCAAGCATCTCAAGCACAAGGCAACCAAGCTCCACCGCGAGCCCATCCGCATAATTGGAAAACGTAACCAGACGCATTTAGAGATCGTACAGTGAATGCAAATAAATGAAGTTGCAGAGCTGTGTTAGAGAATACTTGAGAAGCAAGATACTCGCATTCTTTTTCCACGATGTCGTACTAAAGGGGATCTTGTATGGAATGTGACAGTCACATCTTCAGGGCAGTTATAGGATAATATACCAAGTCGTACGATTGGTATCTTTTATTATAAAGTGAAGCTCAAATCTGAAAACAATGGAACAGACTGTATTTCCTGTATCATTGTGAAAGAAGATTAACTCGGATCATCATTTGTGAATATGCATTGAACGTGTGAGTGTGAATTTATTGTTACCCGAAGGTTCGAAGTTTTACCGTCTCATTGAACCTAAGCTTTCAGTTACAATACATGTTTACCGGAATTTTTGTGGTTTGAAAGAAAGAAACGCAAGAACGAAAGAATATTTACAATTAACAAAGGCCAGAAAAAATACGTCGATGTAATTGGTTTTTAACTGTTGTATCTGTTTTCTTGTATTTGTATCGAACAATACCGCAAAAGGGAAATAGATGAATAATGTCAATCAATTGGAGTAAAGTGCATAATACTTTTGGATGCACTCGAACGAATACGATTGCTTCAATTTATTACATTACAATATACATACGTATAAAGAACCAAGTGGACATTTGTAAGGCACTAAGGACAGTAATGAGTGTTACGTGATTATAAATTGGTTGATTAACGATAGTAGTGATAATCAAGGAGAGAAAACGAAAAAGAGTTGAAAACGGTGGGATCTTTTTAGGCCCTTTTATATAGTTAAGCCGACCTTTGTCGCTGGTTTGAATAATTTTTGCAACCATCGGCGGTACCTGTACTCTGTGTATATCTCTTTATTTTCTTCAAACTGTGAGTATTTTTAAGACGATTATAACAATGAAAGAGTTGTAGGCTACGATAAAAAAACGATGATCTTTATAAGAAAGTGTGTGTCAGTGATAGTCAGGCAAATGAATGTGGGAGTGATCGTAATGTTTTTTGTCGGTACAAGATAGGGTACGTATTCAGCGTGTTTTTTAAAATAGAGTGACACGAGTGTCATTCGCGCACAAATCGTAGAAATTTCGTAATAAGTCGTTGGATCGTAATGGAGGCGCAGGATGTATTTGAAACGAAAAGAAAACCAGAAACAAAGAATTTCCGACGATGAAGATTTAAATTAAAAAGAGGAAAAGTACATATATTAAGAAAAAATATATATATAATATATATAAAAATATATGTTATATATACGAAATACAAAATGAAAGGAAAACAATGAAAGAAAGAAGGAAAACCTGTCGATTAGGAAATAAAATTTAAGGCGCGATTGATTTACATGTGTCACATCGATGTAAAAGTATTTAAAGAATTTAACAGGTCGTATGTATCCGAAGTTTCTTCTGGATGGAAAAAAAAAGCAAAAAACGATCAAGTTGGCAACACGCCGAATTTTTACGAAATCCTCTCTCAAAGAAAAGGAAAGCAAAAGGAAAAAAAAATATCTGCACTCACAAGAGTTAAAATATCTCCGGCACACGTCCTAGCAATACTTATTACAAAAACCCCACTAAATAATCTGATTTCATTGATTCCGGCTAAACCGATCTTGGTCACATTTCCGAATCACTAAATATATAGTTACTGTAGTCTTGATATTTCTCGGTATATGATACAAGTTAATAAACTAAAATAGCATAATCATCTCTCTCTCTCTCTCTATCTCTATCTCTCTCTCTTTCTCTTTGTACTACGTGGATAGATTTTGAGCTCATACTTGAATAATACATGTAACACCGTAGTAAGTCTACGATCGCATAATAGATCAAGATCTGTGTTTTTTGTGTAAGAGAATCGAAATAATATCATTGTCAAACGTGATTGTTGCCAGGTCGCGCTACCTACCACTGTCATCCATCTTAATCGTCAACACGATTTTGCTCGTATTTATTCGTTGACTCGCTAAAATAAGGGAGAGCATGGTCTTTTAACGCGTGCACTGTATATTTATGGGATTAATCTTTTCAATTTTTAGTTACTATTAAATTATTCAGCGTTAGTGTTCGTCCATCACATGTCAGCGGTAGGTATGGCGTTAACTTTCATAGATTTTCGTATTTATTTTGTTCAGCCACGTAACTGCGTTTATTTACCAGCCTCCCTTGTTTCGCGCGAATTATCGTTCTTTCGAACAAGGAAAAGATGAAAGCGAATATGTACGGTAGCGTGCAACTCGGGGTTCCTTTTATTAAAGGACAATGTAAGGGAAACTTTCACTAGGTCCTCTTAGGGTTCTACGATGCTTCTAGGATGCTGCGTTCTAAAGTTCTAGAGATTCCTTCAGATTTTCCTACCATTCAGTGTTCCTTTCAAATGCTCCCTTTTACTTCCAAGTTCGCAAATGACAGAAAAGTCCCTTACATTTTCTTTTAATCAAGAGAAGTCTACGTTGCACCTTGATGTACACATCACTCATACTCGACTGCCTCGAATTCGCGTAAGACTCCATCCGTTTGTCCGTATCTTGTATTATAACCGATTTTGTTCTTCAACGCGGATAATCGCGTCGTGCATTTCTTCACGAGTAGAAAAACGAACGAAAAGAACCATACACACGTTTCTTCCTATCTTCCTTTCTAGTCTTGTCTTTCATCTCTGCGTGGTGCTGTTCACGAACTGAAGCGCTCTCAAGTGCGAAAGTATAATTTTATATACACCCATTCCTCGAAAGAAAAAGAGAATACAAAATGGTCCATTAACTGCAAAGAAAAAACTCGTTGCTAATTCGACGACGCAGGACGGTCATGCGAAAAAAAGAAAACGAAAAAAAGAGGGACTGAAGTTTCGACAGCGAAGCAATACAAATCTTGGAAAATCATGGAATAATATTTTTAAGGTATTAGGAAAGTTGATATTTCGTGGGGACGCAGAACACGAATTAAAACGTTGAACGCCTAGAAAGAAAATCGATAACAAAAGATGTGCAAAATTGAATTTTCGTACAGCGTATCTATGTCTGGCTACCTGACGAGAATCTCTGCCCCTACCCCCACCCCACAATTCTCTAGGATTAGTAAAAAGTACAGAATTTACCGAATACTCTGGAGACTACACGAATAAAGCTTAATCAATGATTGTATTACGAGTGATGATTTATTTGTGTTCTCGGAAACGTTCGCTGCTGTATACATATATACAGGGCCGGCTTAAATCAGTTTCTTTCTAATTTTTTAAGATTGAAATCCTTGCGAACGAGTGCGGATCGAGGAAGTTTCGGATATGATCAAGTGGTCGCGTGACGTACCTTAAATTTTGATAATTTAAAACTACCAAGTAGTTGCTTGATCTAAAACATTCCGTACTCGTTCGCAAAAGTGTTCAATGGGGAATAATTGTTAAAAGATTTTGTTTTGCCGTGGAGAATTGTCCGTATATTCCGCCGGCGCTGCATATATCCATATACATATGTGTGTGCGTTGCGTAAGACCGGAAGTCGCAGAAGGAAGTTTATCTCCGTTACAGCAAAGACGCGAAAGAAACGCAACGCTTCTAAACCGAGAATGAACCTTTGTAAACGATGATTTTGCGTGTTAACGAAAATCGAACTGCCTGCGTGTTACATCCGGCCCGTAACAAGGTTCGTTGCGTCTCGAACGTTTTTGTTTTTAAGTAATCGTTAAGGTACAAGCGGGATCACGCCTGCGATCGTTAGTCTTTAGAAGGTACTATTAATTTTTTACTATGTTTGTAAATTGACCTAAAGAACGCTCAAGAATTCGTCATTACAAACTCTGAACACCCGTTTTGTTCTTGTTCTTTCTTTTATTGGTTTCTTTATAATCTCGATGACGTTTCGCAGTGTCGTTTGTAGATAGAACAAAAGGAAGTCACGTTGATGGACACACGCCGAGTTTTCGGACGTTTCGCGAAGTCAGGTACGAATTTATCGCGGCATCTTAGTTTCTGCTGTTCGGCGAAATAGCAGAGAGAAAAAAACGACACGGGGACCAGTTTAGCAAGTCGAAAGATAAGTACTATATTTAGAAACTCGATGTAAAACTTTCAACTTATGCAAGATACGATAGCGATTGAGTGTTAGGCTACTTGGGTCTGCTACTCGGGCCACGTGACTTGGGAGACTAGTTGTCGAGGTTTTCTCGTACTCGAACGTTTAATTACGCTCGAAATTCTCAACGAGAGCGAACGAGACGCCGCGATAATCTTTTCAAACGAACGAGAACAATCAGCCCCTCGTCTGTTCGCTGAAACGAACAATTCGTTTGGCAGTCAAAAGCATTACCTGATTCGAGAACAATGTACAATATGAAAATGAAACTGATGTGTCTATAAAATGATTTGTGTTCGTAACTTGGTAGACATTTTATTTTATACGATCATTTTAACTCCAACGAAGCTCTTTTTAACGCATTGTCAATCGGTACCATTCAATTTTTACACAAATTCCATCAAATTCACTTGCCACTATGAAATATGTGAGCAAGTTTTTAAATTACGAATTATATGTGACAACACCGGTTGTCAATGCGTTGATTGTACCCTATCCGTACAATGTACTCTCGTGCAAATTGGGCTTCCTTTAGTTACGGAAAAGCATAAGGGAATATACTACCCCTCATTTGTCCATGATCTGCATCTATGAAAGTAGCAATATATTATAAAATCTAAGTTCCTAGACTTTCTCAGGATTTTATCCTTCGTAAAATACCTTACTGTTTTTATTATTATCCTAATCCCTAACTTCCCTCAAGGTACCTATTTTCCCTAATTTCTTGCAAGACCTTCTGCTTCTCTTAACCAAAAGAAGTCCGTTGCACCTGATCGTACAAGCAAAGGGTTAAAATACATCAGGTATAACACTTGCGAATAATTAGAAAAATTTCATTTCGCGATTTTACACAAAAATAATGATCACTCAATGATCCACCACTGTTCTCCCTTTTCGCGGGTCAAAGTTCAACCAACGTCTCGTTTGTTTCCAAATGATCCTTTTGATCTGTATCCTTCATCGAGAATCGTAAGTTAATTTTGCTTCTTCGCGTTAGGCTCGACCAGACATTTTTTAAAGTGCTTCGAACAGAACGGATACAACGACGGATGATCGCAGGTTCGGCATGCAGCGGCGAGATGAGAACAGCAACGTAAGCTTTCACGGCAACACGATGCCCATAATTCAGGACCGGCTGCGGCACAATTGTAACAGTAGCAGTCACCTGGAAGAAAAAGATGTGGCGCAGGTGAAACTCGTGAGTTCAGTCTATCTACCGTTTGGTGGTGCGTTGACTTCTACTTTGAAAATTTGATGGAGTGGAACTTTCAGAATTTGGAATTTTGGGGGGTGGGGAACTTGGGAGAGTGGGACTTTGGGAAATTGGGATTTTGGGATGTGGGAATTTTGGGAAATTGGAATCTTGGGAGAGTGGGACTTCCAGAGAGTTGGACACTTGGGAGATTGGGATTTCTAAGGAGTTGGACCCTTGGGAGATTGGGATTTCTAGAGAGTTGGACCCTTGAGAGATTGGAATTTCTAGAGAGTTGGACATTTGAGAGATTGGGATTTCTAGAGAGTTGGACCCTTGAGAGATTGGGATCTCCAGAGATTTGGACCCTTGGGAGTTTGGGGTTTCTAGAGAGTTGGACCCTTGAGAGATTGGGACTTCTAGAGATTT